TGAAGGGTAGGAAGGGAGAAAGAAGAGAGAAGAAAGGAGTTAAGGAAAGAGAGAGAGAGAGAGAGAGAGAGAGAGAGAGGGATGGATTTTCCTTTTCATGTAAATAGAAAGAGAATCTGACTGAGAGCTAAAAAAAGATCGACCGATAGAAAGGTTTCAAGAGATAATAAGGAGGGAATGTAAATAGAAAAAGGGTAGGAAAAAGAGAAAGAAGAGAGAGAAGGAATGGACGTTATGAGAGAGAGAGAGAGAGAGAGAGAGAGAGGTGGATATTTTCCCTTTTCATGTAAATAGAAAGAGAATCTGACTGAGAGCTAAAAAGATCGACCGATAGAAAGGTTTCATGAGATAATAAGGGAGGGAATGTATTGAAGGGTAGGAAGGGAGAAAGAAGAGAGAGAAGGAATGGACGTTATGAAAGAGAGAGAGAGAGAGAGAGAGAGAGAGGGTGGATATTTTCTCCTTTTCATGTAAATAGAAAGAGAATCTGACTGAGAGCTAAAAAGATCGTCCGATAGAAAGGTTTCATGAGATAATAAGGGGAGGAATGTATTGAAGGGTAGGGGAAGGAGAAAGAGAGAGAGAAGGAATGGACGTTATAAAAGAGAGAGAGAGAGAGAGAGAGAGAGAGTGGATATTTTCTCCTTTTCATGTAAATAGAAAGAGAATCTGACTGAGAGCTAAAAAGATCGACCGATAGAAAGGTTTCATGAGATAATAAGGGAGGGAATGTATTGAAGGGTAGGAAGGAGAAAGAAGAGAGAAGGAATGGACGTTATAAAAGAGAGAGAGAGAGAGAGAGAGAGAGGGTGGATATTTTCTCCTTTTCATGTAAATAGAAAGAGAATCTGACTGAGAGCTAAAAAGATCGTCCGATAGAAAGGTTTCATGAGATAATAAGGAGGGAATGTATTGAAGGGTAGGAAGGAGAAAGAAGAGAGAGAAGGAATGGACGTTATAAAAGAGAGAGAGAGAGAGAGAGAGAGAGGGAGGATATTTTCTCCTTTTCATGTAAATAGAAAGAGAATCTGACTGAGAGCTAAAAAAGATCGTCCGATAGAAAGGTTTCATGAGATAATAAGGGAGGAAATGTATTGAAGGGTAGGAAGGAGAAAGAAGAGAGAGAAGGAATGGACGTTATAAAAGAGAGAGAGAGAGAGAGAGAGAGAGAGTGGATATTTTCTCCTTTTCATGTAAATAGAAAGAGAATCTGACTGAGAGCTAAAAAGATCGACCGATAGAAAGGTTTCATGAGATAATAAGGGAGGGAATGTATTGAAGGGTAGGAAGGGAGAAAGAAGAGAGAGAAGGAATGGACGTTATAAAAGAGAGAGAGAGAGAGAGAGAGAGAGAGAGGGAGAGAGGATTTTTCCTTTTCATGTAAATAGAAAGAGAATCTGACTGAGAGCTAAAAAGATCGACCGATAGAAAGGTTTCATGAGATAATAAGGGAGGGAATGTATTGAAGGGTAGGAAGGGAGAAAGAAGAGAGAGAAGGAATGGACGTTATGAAAGAGAGAGAGAGAGAGAGAGAGAGAGAGAGTGGATATTTTCTCCTTTTCATGTAAATAGAAAGAGAATCTGACTGAGAGCTAAAAAGATCGACCGATAGAAAGGTTTCATGAGATAATAAGGGAGGGAATGTATTGAAGGGTAGGAAGGGAGAAAGAAGAGAGAGAAGGAATGGACGTTATAAAAGAGAGAGAGAGAGAGAGAGAGAGAGAGAGTGGATATTTTCTCCTTTTCATGTAAATAGAAAGAGAATCTGACTGAGAGCTAAAAAAGATCGACCGATAGAAAGGTTTCATGAGATAATAAGGGAGGAATGTATTGAAGGGTAGGAAGGAGAAAGAAAGAAGAGAGAAGGAATGGACGTTATGAAAAGAGAGAGAGAGAGAGAGAGAGAGAGAGGATATTTTTTCTTTTTTCATGTAAATAGAAAGAGAATCTGACTGAGAGCTAAAAAGATCGACCGATAGAAAGGTTTCATGAGATAATAAGGGAGGGAATGTATTGAAGGGTAGGAAGGGAGAAAGAAGAGAGAGAAGGAATGGACGTTATAAAAGAGAGAGAGAGAGGGAGGGTGGATATTTTCTCCTTTTCATGTAAATAGAAAGAGAATCTGACTGAGAGCTAAAAAGATCGACCGATAGAAAGGTTTCATGAGATAATAAGGAGGGAAATGTATTGAAGGGTAGGGAAGGAGAAAGAAGAGAGAGAAGGAATGGACGTTATAAAAGAGAGAGAGAGAGAGAGAGAGAGAGAGAGGAGGAGAGAGAGGATTTTTTCTCCTTTTCATGTAAATAGAAAGAGAATCTGACTGAGAGCTAAAAAAGATCGACCGATAGAAAGGTTTCATGAGATAATAAGGGAGGGAAATGTATTGAAGGGTAGGAAGGAGAAAGAAGAGAGAGAAGGAATGGACGTTATAAAAGAGAGAGAGAGAGAGAGAGAGAGAGAGTGGATATTTTCTCCTTTTCATGTAAATAGAAAGAGAATCTGACTGAGAGCTAAAAAGATCGACCGATAGAAAGGTTTCATGAGATAATAAGGGAGGGAATGTATTGAAGGGTAGGAAGGGAGAAAGAAGAGAGAGAAGGAATGGACGTTATAAAAGAGAGAGAGAGAGAGAGAGAGAGAGAGTGGATATTTTCTCCTTTTCATGTAAATAGAAAGAGAATCTGACTGAGAGCTAAAAAGATCGACCGATAGAAAGGTTTCATGAGATAATAAGGGAGGGAATGTATTGAAGGGTAGGAAGGAGAAAGAAGAGAGAGAAGGAAAAAGGACGTTATAAAAGAGAGAGAGAGAGAGAGAGAGAGAGAGAGAGAGAGAGAGAGAGAGTGGATATTTTCTCCTTTTCATGTAAATAGAAAGAGAATCTGACTGAGAGCTAAAAAGATCGACCGATAGAAATGTTTCATGAGATAATAAGGAGGGGAATGTATTGAAGGGTAGGAAGGAGAAAGAGAGAGAAAGAAAGGACGTTATAAAAGAGAGAGAGAGAGAGAGAGAGAGAGAGAGGTGGATATTTTCTCCTTTTCATGTAAATAGAAAGAGAATCTGACTGAGAGCTAAAAAGATCGACCGATAGAAAGGTTTCATGAGATAATAAGGAGGGAATGTATTGAAGGGTAGGAAGGGAGAAAGAAGAGAGAGAAGGAAATGGACGTTAGGGAAAGAGAGAGAGAGAGAGAGAGAGAGAGAGAGGATATTTTTTTTTCACCTTTGAGAGCTCAAAAAATAGAAAGGTTTCATGAGATAATAAGGGAGAAAGAAAGGGTAGGAAGGGAAGAAGAGAGAGAGGAAAGGACGTTAGAAAGAGAGAGAGAGAGAGAGAGAGGATATTTTTCTCCTTTTCATGTAAATAGAAAGAGAATCTGACTGAGAGCTAAAAAAGATCGACCGATAGAAAGGTTTCATGAGATAATAAGGGAGGGAATGTATTGAAGGGTAGGAAGGGAGAAAGAAGAGAGAGAAGGAAAGGACGTTATGAAAGAGAGAGAGAGAGAGAGAGAGAGAGAGAGGGAGGGTGGATATTTTCTCCTTTTCATGTAAATAGAAAGAGAATCTGACTGAGAGCTAAAAAGATCGACCGATAGAAAGGTTTCATGAGATAATAAGGGAGGGAATGTATTGAAGGGTAGGAAGGGAGAAAGAAGAGAGAGAAGGAAAGGACGTTATGAAAGAGAGAGAGAGAGAGAGAGAGAGAGAGAGGGTGGATATTTTCTCCTTTTCATGTAAATAGAAAGAGAATCTGACTGAGAGCTAAAAAGATCGACCGATAGAAAGGTTTCATGAGATAATAAGGGAGGGAATGTATTGAAGGGTAGGAAGGGAGAAAGACGAGAGAGAAGGAAAGGACGTTATGAAAGAGAGAGAGAGAGAGGGGGGAGCATGGACATTTTCAAATCAAATGAATTTTACTTTCAATCAAATAATATTCCTCAAATAGATTTTAAGAAAGAAGTATATTTTATATTTTTAGAACCTAGAGAGAATTAAATTGATACGAAAGACAATAAGAAAACGGCGCTAATCATGTATTTTATTAAAAAATAACTTAAAAAAACAGAAAAATTATTCTAGTCAATGTAAATTCATTTTCAAATACAGCAAAATATTTTGGTTATTGGAAATATTAAATTTAGCCTATTAAATTGAAATTAAAACTAAAATAATATCTTCAAGACAGATTTTTCATTTTTAAATATTAAATAAACCTTAGGTATCACGTTTTCTGTGGTGGTACCTACAATAATCTGAGAACGTGTCTAAAATGAATTTAAAGCCTAGTATGATGCATCCAATGTGTTTCTGATAAGCTTTTTAATCACGCGCAAAACAGAAATTGCGCCAAAACCAAGTGAGCCACTTCTTTGAAACCAAAACCAAAAAGATATATACACAAACACGGACAGCCCCAGTCAGTCAGTCTCGCGAATTCGCAGAGTAATTGCCAATATACTCCACGCCGCTCTAAACAATAATTTTGCTACGTACGAAATCATTTACTGACTCACATTCGAACATTCAACGATCGACTCTGTGAACACTTTTCTCAACTTATGTACAGTGAATTAAATTCACTACTATAAAATAAGTAAACATCAAATACGATTAAAGGTAGACCACTGTCAGAAACTCTTTCCAAAAACTCTTATTATTCATAATTACGATATTTGACACAAACAAAAAAGACGACGAACTAACGAACAATATCCACAAAGAGACATTCACGAATCGAACAATTACACACACATTTTGTACACACGACACACACTGATTATTCAATCTGTATATTGTTAAATTGTATATAAATGTTGTTTTGTTTCTTAAATTGCACATGCCTCGTTTTTAATTGCATCTGAAAGTTTATTTATTTATTTGTTCGGGACGCAGTGAGACGCACAACCAACAAAAATTTCCTTCTGATTCTTTCTTAAATTATTAACATTCCTGCACGTCACCTACAAAATTGGTGACCGCCCGACGTGAGTCGAATACGCAACAAGATTAGCGAACTTGCTAACATAATCCTATCCAACAAAACTGGGGATCCAACGTGAGTTGAACACCTAAAAAAAAATTGGTAACAATCGACATTCAAAAGAAAAAGAAAAGAAGAAACTCGTCATCAACAAAAAAAATGGTCGCCCCGACGTCACTAACAAACTTGGTCAACCCGACGTTCTGAAAACAAAATTGACGACCACGACATTCTAAAAAAAAAAGCTCGCCATAAATAACAAACTGATGATTCCGGCGTTCATATAATAAAACCATCGACAACAAATGCCTGTTTTTTAATGCGAATGTGCAAACCTGGTTTTTACAGCTGGATGCAATATTCCAGGCCAGGCATATAACCTCACAACAATCGAAATTCGCGGCAGTGGTGGAGAAATTACCTGCAAAGGTAGCGGCTGAATTTGCCGATATATTAACCTCTTTACCTGTAGAAAAACCTTACGAAACTCTCAAGCAAGCGATATTACACAGATCTGGTTTTTCAGAAGAAAAAAAGATACAAGACCTGTTATCGAACGTTGCGATTGGAGATGCAAAACCATCTCAACTCTTACGACGACTGCAACAACTGTTGGGTGATAACGACATATCAACAACAGTATTCCGCCAAATGTGGCTAGATAAACTACCGACAGATGTAGTACGAATTTTAGCCGCTTTAGCAGACGACATGGATATTCAAAAGCTTGCAACAATAGCTGATAAAGTAGTCGACACTACACCGATAAAACACATTTCCGCAACGGAGACGGTGGATGGCCTTGTGCCAGATGTTAACCGGCAGATACAGAAATTAACTTCGGAACTAAAGGAATTATCGATACAGTTACGTGACCTACAGAAATCACATACAAGCCGACGCGATAATTATACGAAGCACAACAAACATAATTTCAGATCAACGTCTCGACATAAATATCAACAACGACGAGATCGCTATCAACACAAAAATTGTTGGTACCACGAGAACTTTGGAACGCGCGCAAAAAAATATAGACAACCTTGTTCATATAGGAAGTCATTCCCCAATAATCAGGCGGGAAACGGACACACTGGCACCCAGTAGAGACGTTGGATGTCAGCCATTTCAAGTCTAATCGTCTCTTCTACATTCATGACAAAACGAGCGGGTTGAATTTTTTAATCGATACCGGTGCTCAGATAAGCGTCCTACCTCAAAAGAATTGCGACAAACTAATCTTAGCCAAGAACACGACTTTTAAGTTACAAGCCGCTAATGGCACACCTATCGATACATACGGTGAACGAACTTTAACACTGGACATAGGTCTTAGAAGGGAACTCACTTGGACCTTCATTATCGCAGATGTCTCAATGCCAATTTTGAGAGCAGATTTCCTGACGCATTACAAACTGTCAATTGAACTAGCATCACAGACCTTAACAGACACGAGCACAAATATTCGACGCTGCGGTTTTATCTCAAAATACTCAACAATCCGTCTGACGACTATTATACCAACAGCCAATGGCTACGACAAGATAATACGTCAGTACCAATCACTACTATCAACGTCATCACACAACGAAACTGTAAAACACCATGCCACACATAGTATCAAGACCGCAGGTCCCCTAGTGCATTCTCAACCACGCAGACTTCATCCTACCCAATTGAAAATTGCCCGTGACGAATTTAATAATATGATTAAGCTTGGCGTTATCCGCCCGTCAGTCCTCTGCATGTGGTCACTAAAGCTGACTCAGTTAGTTGGCGTCCGTGCGGCGATTATAGATTATTAAACGCCCAGACTGTTCCGGATAAATATCCGATACCAGATATAAAAGATTTCGCCCTATCACTGGAAGGTGCCACTGTTTTTACTAAGCTTGATCTAAAAAAAGCGTATTATCAGATTCCTATCGAAGAACGCGATATTCAAAAAACTGCCATTACTACCCCTTTTGGACTTTTCGAGTTCACAAGAATGCCTTTCGGGTTGCGTAACGCGGCACAATCTTTTCAAAGGCTAATTGATGAGGTATTACGCGGGATGCCTTACACGTACGCATATATTGATGACGTACTAATAGCAAGTAGAACACATGCAGAACATCGTGAGCATCTAAACGCTGTTTTGAAAGGACTACAACATAAAACTGAACATAGACAAGTGTGTTTTTTGCGGTGCCGAAATTAACTTTTCTCGGACATATTATTTAACAGCAGGGATTGTCCCCCTTGGACCAAAAAATAGCAACAATCAATGATTCCCCCCCCCCACCTTCTACGTTGAAGCAGTTCAGGAGATTTTTGGGGATGGTAAATTATTATCAACAGTTTATTCCAAACTGTGCAAAAAAAAGAACTCTCCGATTTCGCTATCAAAAGAGGAAGTACAATCTTTTCAGGACGCAAAGGAAGCATTACAAAAATGTACTAAGTTAACGTACATCAATTCGTCAGAAAAATCCAATCTCACTTTGACGACTGATGCATCAGCCGACACGATTGGTGCCGTACTACATCAAACTACAGATGGAATAGAAACACCCCTATCTTTTTTCTCGCTAAAGTTGAATACTACACAGAGAAAATATAGCACTTTCTTGAGGGAATTACTCGCAATATATTTAGCAATACGTCACTACCGACACATACTCGAGGGAAGACATTTTACAATTCTTACGGACCACAAACCATTGACGTACGCATTGCACGCAAAAGCTGACAAGTTAAACCCGAGGGATATTCGACATTTAGACTATATTTGCCAATTCACATCAAATATTCGATACGTAAAGGGTCAACACAATACTGTGGCGGACGCACTATCTAGACCTACACTCGACGCAATACAATCACATACACTCGAATTTGACACGCTTGCTAGTGAACAAATGAATGACGATACACTCCCGTCAGTACAAGCAGATAGCTCGCTAAAAATAGAAAAACGTCCACTACCTTTTACTAACAAGCTCGTGTATTGCGATGTTTCTACAGGTAATCCTCGACCCTACCTACCTCCATCGAGGAGAAAGACTGATTTCGACTACTTCCATTCACCAGCTCACCCTGGAGCGAAGGCCACGCTGCGGACCATAGCCGACAGATTCGTCTGGCCCGGTATGGCCTCGGACGTAAAACAGTGGTCCCGCACGTGCCATGCCAGGCAACGGAGATAAATCGCCACACTAGAGCGCCATTGTCAAATTTTGCGGCCCCTGATGGTCGATTTACCCATATACATGCCGATTTAGTGGGTCCGCTTGACAGAATAAACGGACACGAATACATCTTGACGATTATAGATCGCTTCACGCGGTGGCCGGTAGCGGTACCGCTAACTACGATAACGACAGAAGCAGTAGCAGTATCTAATGCCATTTTCCAGTATTGGATCTCCATATTCGGATGCCCTGCGGTTATTACAACCGACAGAGGACCCCAATTCCAATCGACTCTATTTACCGAATTTGTCAATCTATTGGGTATCAAGCATATCTCTACTACGGCATACCATCCCTGCAGCAATGGGCTAGTAGAACGATTCCACCGACAGCTCAAGTATGCATTAACAGCTTCTACCAGCGCTCGTACGTGGGTAGACAAGCTACCATTTGTAATGCTTGCGCTACGCAATACAATTAAACTAGACCTTAAATGCACTAGTGCCGAGCTAGTGTTCGGAAAACCAACGACCCTACCAGGACAAATTTTTCATAACGTAACGAATTCAACTCCTACTAATTATTTGTGGCCGATCTGAAGAAAAAAATGACAGGCATAATATATACGCCCACACGTGTGTGTAAAAAGCCATTCTACCTGCCGACGGACTTACATTCTACAGAATACGTTTTCCTGCGTCGAGACGCAGTACGCAAACCGTTAACGCCGAATTACACAGGTTCACATCTGGTGATATCCAGAACACCAAAATACTTCACTATAGACATCGCTGGTAAGCAAAACACTGTCAGCATCGACTTAAACCAGCATACCTACAGTGCGATGACGTCGATCGAACAACACCAAAAACGACAACAACAGAATCAACCAAATACGCAGACAACGACAACAGATAAAGTCTACATCAACACAGTCTACTCGCACAAAATCTGGCAGCCATGTCCATTGGCCAACAAAATTTCGGACTTATATTAGATATTAATGCCTATTGTTCATGGCATTAATCTTGGGGGAGGTATTGTGGACTCATCCAATATCCTTACCTTTCCAACCTAACGAAAGTTCAGTCCACATCGTACGCCTACGATCAAAAAAACCTCAACCAGAAAGATATATAAACAAACACAGACAGCCCCAGTCAGTCAGTCTCGCGAATTACCCTTGACTTTTTGTCGTCATTTTTTGACCGGTGCTGACTCCTCTTTATCGCTTGAAATTTACCCGTTTGGTATTTAGAACTTCATTTTCGTTAAGTTTGTTTATTTTATTTTTACATTTTTGCGTCCTTATTGAAAAAAGTTTTTTGATTTTTTCTTTCTTTTCTCCATTTTATTTCCCCCCACCCCAGCCTTATTTTTTTCTTTTTATTCTAGTTTTCCTATTCGATTTTAAATTTTACTCCCATTAATTTTTTGCTCGTTTTTCTTTTCCTTTTTGATTTTTCGTTTTTTTACCCCTGTAATTCCCGCAGTTTTTTTTTTGTTTTTAATTCTCATTTCTATCCCCTTTAATTTTTGCTCTTTTTTTCTTTTTTTAATTTTCATTTTCTTTAATTTATTCTGTGTTTCGTTTTAATTAATTTATTTATTTATTTAATTGTTTCTTTCTGACTTTTTACTTTTTACGTGTTTTTTGTTTATAATCGTTGTATTGTCCAATTTATTTGTTTATTTTCTTTTGTTAATTGGTTCGACTCGCTTAGGGTCGGCCATTTTGATTTTTGTAACTAGCTTTGTGTTTTTGTTTCGTAATTTTTTGTTGACGTCGGCCATTTTGATTTTATTTTAGCTTCGGCTTTTGTCGAAGTTTTTCTGTTTTTTTTATTGTTTAACGTTTTTAATTTTGTTTATTTTCTTTTACGTGTTTTTTCTTTTATTGTTTCGCCTTTAGGCGATATTTTGTTCTTTATTGTATTCTTTATACGTTTAAGTGAACCGTGTTTTATTCCTGTCATGCAATTTTTTTTTGGTTGAGTGTGTTTAATTTTTTTTAATTTATTTCTTTTCCTCTCGTCCATAAATTTATTTAATTATTTCCCACCCATCTCCCCCTTTCCCCTCCCCTTCTCTGTTTTAAAAATGGATAAGAAGAAAAAAAAAGTGCCTTCATTTTTAATTTTGAAAAAGAAGCCTAAAATTGCTTCTTTTAGACGTAACGTTAGGAAACACCTTTTTAATCCAAAGAAAGATCCCCCGGATAAAAATAATAAGGAGGAATATCCTGACCTGCCTAGAACTCCTACAAATGAGGAAATGGTGGATGCTTTAAAAAAAGCCTCCAAAAATATGGAGGCTGTTAAGAGCAGTAACAATGACCAAGATAAGGACAACACAACTACTAATGCAGAGGCCGGGCAAGCGCCCTCTTGTTGGAAGTCCCCTCCAAAATGCATAATCGACATCGCGGAGTTCTTGGATCGTGCCAAGGGTTACGCACACCTTGTGGTGGAAGGTGGGATTTTGCAGGATCCAGTAGAACTAAAGAGAGTCGAAAAAAGAATAGTGTCAGTTTTTGTCGTCGACAAGCGTTCTCGCAAGATTTGTCGTTCGACTAAAGACACAGTGTACAAATCACTGGAGTCCCTGGGGTTTAAGCCCCTCCGAATAGTTAAGGGTAAGAATTTTTCAATGTGGGACGTGCTGCTGCCCACCGCCGAAGACTGCATAAGAGCTTCAACTCGGGACCTGAGGGCCGGCGAAGGACCAGGGTAGCGGTATACGAGGTCCCTCCTCAGGTTCTCGGGGAGCACCTGGCGGCATTCCTGTCCCAATATGGCGAGATTCTGGGTGCTTCTTGTGATAGCCTGACCGGGGGATGGAGCTTTGAGATGATGCTAAATCAAAAGCCTTTGCAATCTATCCCCAACTGTCTTGACGTTGGTGACCTGAGGCTGCCGATCATCGTGATCGGCCGTAAACCAGTTTGCTGGAAGTGTGGAGTGACTGGTCACCTCTCCTCTTCCTGTCCAGAGAAGAAGGCCTCTGGATCTCAGGTCCCAATCGACCAAACTCCCCCTCTGACCGAGTCTTCTAAATCCGTCACGCCTGTAATGGGCACGTCGACTACCAGGACCGGAGCGGTTGTACCCCAGTTGGGTCCTCAGCAAAGCCCCATTCCCCCGAAGAGCCCTCTTCTACTGCAAGTGTGGTTGAGGAGAAGGAAAAGGGGAATGGCAGGTAGTCGGCAGGGCCAGAGGGAAGCGTCAGAAAAAGGGGCTTCAGTCCCTGAAGCCCTGGGGACTAAAAGACACTTACAGTGCCACTCCCTCTGACAACAGAAGGGCGCTGTCCCGGTCTCTCTATTTTGACCCTTGAAGATCAAAAAAAAAGAAATACGATCCTGGATACAGCAAAACTGAAAAAGATTAGGGAGCTGAAAGTTAAGCTAGACCAACAAAGGAAAAAATCGTCTCCATCTAAACAGTCTTCACAGCCCTCTACATCGCATCCACCAAAGTCCCCCTTCCAAAAGAAATCCTCCCTCTACATCCGCCGACCCAACACCTTCTCCCGTCCTCAACCTCTCTTTTGTAGAGTGAAGCCCATTTGCTTCCCCTTCCTCTTCTGCCCAGTCCCAAATTCCTCTCAGTCGAGACCCCAGCCCATTTAGACATCCCTCTACGCCTTTGCAACACCCCAGTCCTTCTCCTACTAAATCGCCTACAATGCCTCCGCCGTCTAAAAGACTGAGAAGCCCCTGCCCCAGATTCCACGGAAAAAGGAAAAAAAAAAAAGCCTATTTATAATTTAGGCTCTGAAGTTTGTAAGATTTCACCTTTACAAGCAGAAAAGGCGAAGGATTACGGTAATAAGATTACCAACTTGAAGTACCTGCTTTCTATTAAGCAATTCGGAGATAAAGATATTGATGACCCAAAGAACTTTCCAAAAGCGCTAAGAGTCTTAACTGTAATTAGAGCTGAGACTGGGGCTAAACAGATTTGGGCCATGTTGAATGAGGCTATGACTTCTTTCAACATGACCCCGCCCATCGCCATCACGGAAAGTGACAAGTTAAAAGAAATTGAAGCAATTTTGTGCAGGAGGGTCCTGGTTTTCGTTTCACCCCTCCCTTTATAGAGCACTAAAATTAACTTTCCCCTGGGAAATCGGCGGTATCTCCCAAGACGGTACCATCAATACTGAAATGGGCCATGGGTCTATGGGAGAGGCTGTCGGTATCCTTCTCGGCCATGTTTAATGCTGGTAAACAACCCTAATCGGATTTCTCGATGGCTCTCTGGTTAGCTACTTTAAATGTGCGGGGCCTGAGGTCCGAGTCTCGCAGGGCGAGGCTCTCTCGTGACCTTTTCGCCTCCAGGGGTGAATGTTTGTTGTGTGCAAGAGACCCATTTTTTTCTCATGACCATGAGGATATACTGTCTAAGGGTTCGCCCTTTATTCAGCATGTTTTGATGGTCGTTCGAGGGGTGTCTCTTGGCTAGTGAGCAAGTCTTTGAAGGCTGCATGTTCCCTTGTCTTCGCAGATCCGGCGGGCAGGCTTTGCGTGCTGGATGTTACTATAAAAAACATAAGGCTTTACGTCTCATTGGGGTTTATGCGCCCAATGTTCATGCTGAGCGGCCTGATTTGTTTCAGCAGATCGAGCCGTTTTGACGACTTCTCGTCGGGTAGTTTTTAGCGGGGGATTGGAATGCCGTCCTTGACCCCGATATAGATCGTATAGGTAAAAAACCGGTACTAACAATCCTGATGTGAAGGGGCATTTCGGGACTTTATCGGCAGGTTTGATCTTGTCGATAAGTACCGGAATAGGCACCCTCAGGAGGTAGCTTGGACTTGGACAACTAGTGGCAACTCGGATCCTGGCTCGCTTGCGAGCTACCTGGACCAGTGTTAGTTAGGGAGAGTCGACGTAGGGCTCTTAGTGTGTCCAAGTTTCCATTATATAGTTTATACGGATCATAGGCTTGTCCGGGTCCGTGTAAACTTAGATAAACCTAAGGTTTGGATGGGCTGGTTACTGGAAATTTAACTGTTCACTTTTTGGTGAGCAGGATTTCCGGGACCAGCTGCTACTAATGATTCAGAGGAAATGACGGGGGCGGTTGTGGGTAACGCCTGGTGGGGAAAATTAAAAATCAAAATTAGAACGTTTGCTGCCGATTTTAGTCGTCGACTCAATCTAGATAGATTAGCGGCGCAAACGGCTTTAGAAGAAAAGGTCGATCGGGCTGTTAAATCCCGTGTTAGTGGGGACATAGTCTTAGCTAAGGCAGAGTTGTCCTCCTTGCTTATCAAGAAGGATCAAGCTCTGGTAGTTAGGGCTAGGCTAAAAAGAATGTCTTCTGAGGCGACGAATATGGCCGCTGAATTGCGTGCAGAGGAAAATCGGAACGCGGATAAGCGACATATAGCGTGCGTCACATTGCCGGATAAGCGGACCGTGACTACAAGCGCGGGCATATGCGAGGCCTTTCGGCTTTACTTTCAGGATCTTTTTACCAAGGAGCCCGGTCTGAGCTCTGCTCAGTTCGACGCCTATTTGGCTGACTTTCCCTGCCTTGAGGCAGCTGGAAGCGGCTAGTGCGAGGGTCCCATAACAGAGTCGGAAATCTGGGGAAGCGCTGAAGCAGGTTGGCTTGGATAAGTCTCCGGGACTAGATGGTCTTCCCTACGAAGTGTGCTTGTGGCTGTCGCCCGTTTTTGTTCCTTTGCTGGAACTGATTTTCAACCACTGGATGAAGCAGGGGTCTTTACCTCAACGCTTCACCAGGGTGAGATCAAAAATTGCTGCGTAAGGACAAGAACAGTGGGGATGGGTTAGGGAACTTTCGCCCTTTAACGATGTTAAATACTGACATTTTGGCGAAGATCTTAGCCAACCGTTTGCAGCTTGTCCTGTCTCGTCTGATTGGCCCCCTGAACAGACTTGTGCTGTGAAGGCAGGACTATTCAGGATAACCTTCATATGGTACGCTTGATCTTAGAACAAGTCGACAGTGAAGCCGCGCTGATCAATTTAGATCAGTCAAAGGCCTTCGATAGGGTTGACCATCGGTTTCTGGAGGCTGTCCTTTCGGCGGCCGGTTTCCTTGAGCCGACTTTCGCTCCTGGATCCGACATTTGTATGCGACCCCGGTGCGCTGGTGGAAGTGAATGGGGTAAAGATCGAAGCCTTTCATATTGTCTCGCTCCATTCGTCAAGGTTGTCCGCTTTCGCCTCTGCTTTACGTTCTTGCGTTGGAACCATTCCTTCGCAAGTTAAAGGCGAATCCGGTCCTGCGCGGAATTTCGCTGCCTGGGGCTACCACCTCAGCCAGGTATTCTGCCTATGCTGACGACGTTTCGGCTCTTGTGTCGAGCAGAGCAGAGATTGCCGAAGTCAGCAAAGAGATCACTGGGTATGAGATGGTGACAGGGGCTAAGATCAACCGCGATAAGTCTGTGGGCTTGCGGTTGCGTGCGTGGAAGGGAGTTTCTCTTCCCGGACCTTTCCTCTGGACGGATGGGCCGATCAAGATATTCGGCGTCTGGTTCGGTCCTGATCTCTAGTTGGAAATGAACTGGTCGGAGGTACAAGGAAAGGCCGAAATCGCGGTTAATCTGTGGTCTCGATATTTTTTCACAAACAAAAAAGACAACGAACTAACGAACAATATCAACAAAGAGACATTCACGAATCGAACAATTACACACACATTTTGTACACACGACACACACTGATTATTCAATCTGTATATTGTTAAATTGTATATAAATGTTGCATTGTTTCTTAAATTGCACATGCCTCGTTTTTAATTGCATCTGAAAGTTTATTTATTTGTTCGAGACGCAGGGAGACGCACAACCAACAAAAATTTCCTTCTGATTCTTTCTTAAATTATTAACATTCCTGCACGTCACCTACAAAAGAAATCAGTTCGGAATATTATGATAAAAAATGATGGATAGAAAGATAGATAGATAGACGACGCGACAGACGGTAAGTAATAGACAGATAGATAGACAGATAGATAGAAAACGAGAAAGAACGGAAGGAATAGATACTGTTGAGTTGTTGGGAGTGTTCCCCGCGTGTGTGTATTCGAATAAAGACACACAGTTGTAGGGATAAATACTGGTATATTTGTATTTGGAGATAGATAGATAGATTTAATGAAATAATAAGGGAGGGGAAGAAGAGAGAAAAGGCTGGTTTTCTGAAAGAGAGAGAGAGAGGGTGGAAATGGCCATTACCTTTTCGGTGTGGTTTCCAATTCAAGGCGAGAAAGTTTCGGTTACTCTTCTATTTTACTGATGCAGGGACCAGATAGGTTCATGCCTTTCCTAATGAATGTCTCACAGACGTGAACGGGATTTGAACCCGGTTTACCGATTCCATTTTCCATGAGACATCAATCTTTGAGTTTTCCTCTAAAATCGCAAAAGAATGAAATATTGAATTCTTGTTGGAATTTCTCTTCCACACATTCCCCCCACCCCCACCCCCGGAGCTCCAAAAAAATTCCTTGGAATTTCCGAATCTTCGCCTTAGAATTTACCAATTCTTTCTCGTCTTTTAGAAATTCTACACCCCCCTCCGCCTGATTTTTTGGTTTTCTTCTCTCCAGTTCGTTGCCAAATGTCAGTCTTGGAATGTCTTTAAAGAAAATAAAGACGAAATCTCTTTCGATAACATTTAAGAAAATTCACGGTCCTCCACGACATCCACGAAAAAAAGAAAAACCCATTTCTTGTTTTGATGCGTGAAAGACAAACAAAGAAAAGGAAGAAAAAGAAGAATAAAGAAAAAATTACAATTATTTACCTGAACTCATAATGTTATCCGACGACAAATTGAATTTAAAAACAAAAATCGATCAATAATTATTTTTATTTATTTGTTGTTTTTATTGGCATTTCAAATGAAATTTCATTTTCTGTCAACCATTGATGGTCGGAGATACAAAAAAAAATATTGAAGAAAATTTCAAAAAACGAATTGAAAAAATTAAATTTTATTTAAAAAAAAAAAAAAATTTTATTTTTTTTTTTTTATAATATCAAATTTTTAAAATTTTTTCAAATTTTCAAAAATTTTTCCATCTTTTTTGAAAAGAAACAAACAATTTTTGGGGGGAACAAAAATAACCGGAAATTTTTCAGATTTTTTTCGAAATTTATAGAAAATTTTTTTCTGGTAAAAGGAAAAATTTCTTCTTGGGTCGAAAAAAAAAAAAAAATCCAAATTTATTTGAACAAAAATCGAAAAATTTTTTTTTTTTTTTCAACTTTTGAAGAATTTTTTTTCATTTTATTCCAAACAAAAATTTCCAACATTCCAATTCTTGCCCCCACAAATTCTCAGTAGTCGGATCGGCACGAAGGAGGGGGGCATAATCACCACCCGGCGACCACCTCCCCCAGGGTGGATTGTTTTATTTTTTCTTTATCTTTATTAAAACAAAAAATTTCTTGAAAATTTAAAATCAAAAGCGAAATTTTTTTTTTAATTTCACGCAAAGAAAAAAAAATTATTTTATTTTATGTTAATTATTTTTTTTTTTTTTTTTTTTTTGTTTTTTGGTTTCTGAAAATGGCGGACATTATTGTCACCAAGAAAAATCACATTCCGGACCTCCAACAACTAAATTGTCTTTGGGGAGGCGATAGATCTCCATAGGGCAGAATCTCCTTTGGCTCATCTTCTAATTCTAAGGCCGGGTATTCCCAATAAAGACTCTTGCACCTCTGTAACCGAACAGGTTCGATCGTTGCAGACGGCAATCCTTTTTCATCTGCAACTGCCCGGATGTCTCTGGCGTCCAACTGATTATTTCTTTCTTCAGTGACTCTAGGGAATCGTGACACCATTTTGAAAATGTCACGACCCAACGATCCTTTCTCGGGTGGAGCAAACGATTGTTGGAGCCGCGCATAAAGCTCATCTCTCAGCAACCTCAATCCACAAACGACGTCCTCATCGTCGGCGTCGTCCCTCAACAAATGTCCCAAGGTGTTGCGCCAGATCTTCACCTTCCCAAAAGGTTTTCTCTCTCCTTCACGGAGAGGCGCCATTTTCTCTCCAGTTCAGACGACGCCGCTCTCATATTGTCGAACAACTCTCCCAACTTGAGACGTGCCTCTTCAACGAATGATTCAAACTCCTGAGTGAGTTTTGAGCATTCGAATAGCAATCCATTGACAATTGGTCAATGGATCGCCTCGTCTGCTCGTTAGTCGCCCGGATGTTGATTTCGAACTGGCGGAGTTGCTGCTCCAGGGTGGGGCCGTCCTCCTTTTCTCCTTCGACGCCTCCTCCCTTAGCGACAGCGGACGATGCGGACATTGATGGAAGGCGGTCACGTGATCAGTGTAACATGCGTTGCACAGGCACACGTTGCACCGTTCGCAAAAGGCGTCTTTGAATTTACGGTGCCGGCAACAGTCGTCCGTCGTGATGACCCGGATGACCTCCACCCTCGACACGCTCGACAAGTCTTTAATCTCGTGTCTGAGCTGGAATTTCGTGTGGAATCTCTCGCAGGTCTGGCACAAGATTTTCTGACAGTTCTGGCACCAATGCTATGCCGTCTTCCAAACACTTATCACAATTCAGTTCGCTGGATTCCAGGTGACGGCGCCTCAAAAACTTTACCAAAAATGGTGCAAGTCTCAACTTGTCTCTTGTCACACGTTGTTGACACTGGGGACACAGGCGATTTCCTTCAAGAATCATCTTCACGCACGACCCACAAAAGAATGAAGACATGGCAACGTCTTCGATGCCAAGTCCAAAATTGGTCGCATTTCGAGCATTGGAATGTCTCTTCTTCACTCACATTGGACGACATTTTGAAAATTTCTTCCGAAGATAAAAATCAATCTGAAAAGAAAAGAAAAAAAAAAAAAGGTCAAAGTTCAAAATCCTAAAAAAAAAAAAAAAAAAGTCCATTTATAAAACCGGAAGTAAAATGACCCAAAATTTCGAGATTTTACAAGAAAAACAAATCGATTTCCGGAAAGAAAATTTCTTTTCTTCTAAAATCCGAAATAAATGCAGGAGAAGAGAAAGGTGAGGGTGAATGAAATAGTGAGAGAGTAGGGAACGGAGAGAGTGATTATCAACGAAGGAAGGAAGGAAAAGCACTGAGAGAGAGGGAAGGAAAGAAAGAGCAAAAGAAACAGAGAGATAGAGAGAAATACAGAGAAAAAAGAGAGGGGGGGTTCCAATTTTTCGCCTTCACAGTCACATTTAACCATCTCTTTTCATCAATTGTATTATTTTAGAATTTGAATATTTCTTCCGATTATTTTTTTACAATTTCTTTGAAAAAGACACAAACAAAATGAAGACATTTTTTTTTTACTAATTTTGTTTTTTTCGCTTATCATAGCCTAGAATGACGCAAGGCCAACAGAAAACGAGGAAATTAAGCACTACTTAAATAAAGTGGTCCACTCATAAAAACCGAAAAAGACATGGCAAGTATTTTTATAAATGAGAATTTATTTATTTATTCGATTTTCAAAATAACAACTTTTGTCAAAAAAAAATTTCAAAATGATTTTTTTTGGTTTTCCTGAAAGAATTTTTAAATATGAGAGATAGAGAGAAAGATAGAGAAAATAGAGAGAAATAGAGAGAGAGAAAGAGAGAAAGAGAGAGAGAAAGAGAGAGAAAGAAAGAGAGAGAAAAAGAGAGAAAAGAGAGAAAGAGAGAGAGAAAAGAAGAGAAAGAGAGAAAAGAGAGAGAAAGAGAAAGAGAGAGAAAGAGAGAGAGAAGAAAAAGAAGAAAAAAAGAGAGGTGGTAAAATAAAAATAATAAAAAAAAAAAACATTTATCTTTCAATGATTATTTTGAAATCGATGAAAAAATTCTGTGACGTCATAGGAGCGGAAGGCATTTCATTGGACAAGAATAACCACACCTTAGCCGGACTGAAGGGCTTTACATGAGATAACAAGAGGGAAAGTAGCAAAGGAGTAAGTGAAGGGAGGAATAAGAGAAAAATGAGAAAAGAAAAGGGTTGTATGAAAGAAAGAGAGGGGGGATATTTTCTCTTTTAAATAAACAGATAAACTGATCGATAGAGACTAGGAAAGGAAAGTAGAGAAGGAGAGGAATGAGCAATAAGAGAGAAAAAGAGAGAGAAGAGAGAGAGAATGCTATTTTTCCTTTGAATAAATATAACCAGCCAGATAGATAGATAGATAGATAGATAGATAGATATTAAAAGACGCCTGTAAGTGAAGAGGAGCAATAAGAGAGAAAAGAAAGGGTTGTATGAAAGAAAAAGAGAGAGGATATTTTTTTTTTTTTTAAATAAACAGATAGACTGACTGACAGAGAGAGAGAGGGGGGGGAGGGAGGAAAAAGTAGGGAAGGGAGGAATGAGCAATAAGGAAGAGAAGAAAGGGTTTTATGAAAGAGAGAGAGAAGAAGAGAGATAATGGTGTTTTTTTTTTTTAAATAAACATATAGATAGATAACAAAGAGAACGATAAAAATTAGAAGATAACTAATGATAGATAACGAGCTATAGAAAGATAGATAGATAGATAGATAGATAGATAATAGATAGAAAAGAGTAAGATAGATAGACAGACCGATATTACGACTTCATTGAACAGATTTAAAAAAAAATAAATTTTATCTTATTTTAAAAAAAAAACAGGCGGACCATTTTACTTAAGTAGTACCTCGTCTTTCCTTTATAATTTTACAACATTAAGGAAACAAATAAAAAATTCGGGGGGCAAATTAACTTATCGTCTGTCTTATTCAAAAAACAAATCAAGAAGTTGAAGAAAACAAAGAGAAAGAGTCAGATGAACATTTTTGGATTAAAAAAAGTTTTCGAAATTAAATTCATTTGTTTCAAAAGAGAGAGAGAGAGAGAGAGAGAGAAGAGAAAGAAAAGAGAAAGAGAAAGAGAAGAAAAGAGAAAAAAAGAAAAAGATGGATTTAATAAAGAGATTACAATTAATTGTGATTTTGATTTCTTCTGTCCATACTTTGCATCGAGACCAGTAAATAGAAATGAAGAGAGCCAAAAATGTTTTTCCCTTTGCGTCGTAGTGGCTTTCTTGCCTTCATTGGGTTGAAATGATTAAAAAAAAAAAGGAAGAAAAAGTTTTGTTGTGTTGATGGAAACATTTAAGAAGAAGGTTGAATGATTTGGAGAAACGATAAGAAAATTCTTACTTACATTTGATTTTGATTTTCACTTTTGGGATGAAAAGAAGCGAGACGGAAACAAAACACGTCTTGTCTGTTGAATTTTCTGAAAGCAAACTGCAAAGGGCGTCGGCCGTACGGATGACGTCATCGGAATACAAGACATTTCATTGGACGAGAATAATCACGCCCCCTGGACACGTGACTTTCTTTACTTGTTATAGATGAGAGAAAGAGGGGGAAGAGAGAAGCAAGAGAGAAAACATGGAACGATGAGAGAGGGGCGAATTCTCTTCTTTTCTTTCCTTTTTTACTTCAAATAACTCACGACATTTAATCATTTGAAAAAAATATTTCAACTCAAACAAAAAAACATGAAATTTGTGATAAATCTGAATAAAATGGAATTTCATTTCATCAAGAATCATTTTTATGGAAATAAAAAGAAAATGTCGAATAAAAAGTTTCATAAACATCCGGAATTATTTCAATGGCAGTTTTATTTTTGAAAACGAATTTATATTTTTATTTTATTTCTTATCGTAAAATGTAAATTGAAAGAAGAAAAATCAATGAAATATTTAAAATATTCAAAGGTAAATTTTGTCAAAATTTCTTTAATGTCAGATGTACATTTAAAATGGATGACAAAAGTGAAATAAAATGAATCCAGTTCCAGGAAAATGAAAATTGAATTCACAGAAGAAATACAAAAATGTTGACCTATTATTTTTTATTAGATTTTAAAACAATTTTATTAGTCAGTAAATATAAAAATAGTTAGTAAAATAAAAATAAAAAACTATTAATCAGATGTATAAATAAAAAAAAAATATGAAAGGAAAAAAATATTAGTGATATAAAATTAAAAAAATAAAATAAAATGTTTATTAGTACTCGTATAAAATAATTAAAACTAATAATTGATTAAACTAATTTTTTGTGCAAAATTTAAAAAAAAAGTTTTTATTTGCAAAAATGGTAAAATGTAAAAAAATCATGATTTTTTATTTTACTTTTAATACTAAAAATAAAAACACAAGTTAAAATATTTTTATTAATTATTACTAGAAAAATAATTAAAAATAATCTAACTTTTTGTTTAAAAAAAAAGATTTTTATTTGCGCTAAAAATTTTTATTTGACCCTTTAAAATAATTATTACTAATAATTTTTCTATAAACGGATACAAATTTTATTAGTATATTTCCGATTAATGTTTATAAAAACTAACAAGCAATTAATGTTAAAAGTTGAAATTCTTCTCGGTTTAATACAAGATGACTTTAAGATTCGGTAATAAAAACGAAAAATAAACTCTTCTTTTTTGACTCATGGAATTAAAAGGAAAACCCAAAATATTTTTATTAATGAAAAAAATTTTGAACTCTGGTTCAAAAAAAAAAAAAAAAAAAAAACAAAAAAAAAAAAAGGTCAACATAATTTTGATTGAATTGTCAAAAATCTAAAAAGTCTTTTGAATTTCATGATTTGAAAGAAAGACAAAGTGAAACTAATTTTATTTGTGAAATTCCGAGAAATATGGATTTTACCAACACGAAGTAGTAAACAAATTATGATTTATCAGGAATTTCCGATGACCTCTCACCTCGAACAAAGGTCAATAGACAGGCAGATAGATAGATAGATAGATAGATAGATAGATAGATAGATAGATAGATAGATATGAACAATGTGAAATTGATGGGAGTTTTATTTTTTTTTAAATCGAATTCATATTTATTTCATTTCTTGTCAGTAAATCTAAAAAAATAGTTAATAAAATAAAAAAACATCTTATTAGTCAGAAATAAAATAAAAAAGTAGTCTAAAATAAAAACACTAGTACAAAATATTTTATTAGTCAGTACTAGTATAAATTATTAAAAATAATTCATAACACACACATATATATATATATATATATATATATATATGAAGGAACATAGATTTTGACCGGCTTTATATTTAGAACATCTTAATATTTCCCATTTAAGGATTGAGTCTTTGTTATTTTCCTCTCTAATTTTCCATTCATAGCGAGATAAAGTATGTTTGGTTTTTTCATTGTTAAAACTACTCGTATGTTTATAATATCTTTTTTTAAATATGTCCTGAGTAGCTCCTATATACACTTTAGGGTTTATATCATTATTGCAGTCATCTATGTCCTTGTAAATTTTAGCCTGGTAAACTACGCACTCCTGTTGACATTTTCCCTGTAGGGGACAGATTTTTTTTTGTTCCTACAATTACAACTAGAAGTAGTAAAAAAAAATTGAATTCAAGAAAAATTTCAAAAATCGAATTTAAAAAATTTAAAAAAAAAAAAAATGGCCTTTTCTTTTTAAATAATTTTCAAGATTGTCAATAAATATTTTCCATCTTTTTTAAAAGAAAGAAACAATTTTTGGTCGGAAACAAAAATCTTCGGAAATTCTTCAGATTTTTCCGGAAATTTATACAATTTTTTTTTTGGTAAAAGAGAAAAAATTTCTTTTTGGCTCGAAAAATAAAAAAATCCAAATTTATTTGAACAAAAATCGAAAAATTCTTCTTTTTGCAATTTTTGAAGAACTTCTCCATTTTTATTCCAAACAAAAATTTCCGATTTTCCTTCTCTTGTCCCCAAGAAATTCCCATTCGTCGGATCGGTACGAAGGCGGGGTGGATAAACACCGCCCCCCGGTGACCCCTGAAGGAGGATTGTTTTTATTTTTTCTCCATTTTCATTAAAACAAAGAATTCCTTCAAAATTCCAATCACAAGTGAAAATTTTTTTCTCATTTTGACACAAAGAATAAAATTTTCCTTTCGTGTCAATTATTTTTTGCTTTTTTAAAAATGGCAAACATTTTTGTCGCGCCAAAAAGAAAAGTCTTCCCCCCGACTCCGACCCCCCAGGACAACAAGTAACCAAAATGTCTTCGGGGAGGAGACACATGTCCCTGGGGTAGAATTTCTCTCCTCCGTCCGTTAAGGGAAATTGGCCGACCAATTCCCCAGAGTCTCTGAATTCCAGAATCGATCCGCCTTCCCAGTCGCCAACAAAGACGTGATTGTCTTCATCGCTGGCGACAATCGATGAAATCCACAGCGGCGGGTTCGATCCTTGCAGACGGCATTCACTTTCCAATTGCAAATGCCCGGATGTCTGTGACGACAGCGGTTTCAATCCTTGCAGACGGAATTTTTTTTCCAATTGCAAATGCCCGGATGTCTCTGCCGTCCAATCTGCTATTTCTTTCTTCAGTGACTCTAGGGAATCGTGGCACCATTTGGGAAGTGTCACGACCCAACGGATTTTCTTGGGTGGAGCAAACGATTGGTGGAGCCGCGCAGAAAGCTCAGCTCTCACCAACTTCAATCCACAAACGACGTCCTCATCGTCGGCGTCGGCCGTCAATAAGTGTTCCAAGGTTTGCTGCCAGATCTTTACCTTCCCCAAAAGTTTTTCTCTCTCCTTGAGGGAGTGGCGCCATTTTCTCTCCAGTTCGGACGCCATCACTTTCATATTATCGCATAGCTCTATCATCTTCTGCCGTGCCTCAATCACGAATGTCTCAAAATCCTCCAAGAGTTTGGAGCATTCGGAATCGCAATCCCTTGGCAATTGCTCAATGGATCGATCCGTCTGCCCGTACGTCGCCCGGATCTGGATTTCGAACTGGCGGAGTTCCCGCTCCAGGGTGGGGCCGCCTTCCTCTTTCCCTTTCAACGCCTCCTCCCTCACCGACAGCGGACGAGGCGGACACTTAGGAGAAGCGGTCACGTGTTCCTTGTAACATGCGTCACACATACACACGTTGCACCGCTTGCAGAATGCGTCCTTGGATTGGTGGTGCCGTTGACAGTCGTCCATCGTGATGACCCGGATGGCCCCCACCTTCGACACGCCCGACAAATCTTTCGTCTCGTGTCTGGAATGTAATTTCTGATGAATTCTCTCGCAAGTCTGGCAAAAGAGTTTCTCGCATTCCTGGCACCAAATCTGGCCGGTTGATTTTTTGCCGTCTTCCGAACACATGTCACAATTCAGTTGGCGGGATTCCAGCTGACGACGCCTCAAAGATTTCACCAAAAATGGTGCCAGTCTCAAATCGTCACCGGTCACATGTTCTTGGCAATGGGGACACAGGCCATTTCCTCCAAGAATAACATCCACACACCTTCTGCAGAATGAATGAAGACATGGCAACGTCTTCGATGCCAAGTCCAAAAATTGGTCGCATTTCGAGCATTGGAATGTCTCTTCTTTACTTACATTGGACGCCATTTGGAAAATTTTTTCTGAAGATAAAAAAATCAAATCTGAAAAGAAAGAAAAGAAAAAAAAAGGTCAAAGTTCAAAATCAGAAAAAGACAAAAAAAAAAAAAATAATTCCATTTATAAAACCGGAAGTAAAATGACCCAAAATTTCGAGATTTTAAAAGATAAACAAATCGATTTCCGGAAAGAAAATTTGTTTTCTTCTAAAATCCCAAATAAATGAAAGGGAGGTGAAGAGTTGTCGGGGCGAATGAAATAATGAGAGAATGGGGTACGGAGAGAGTGGTTATCAATGAAGAAAGAGAGGGAGTGAAGAGAAATTCGAGGAAGGAAAGAAAGGGTAAAAGAAACAGAGGGAAAGGATTTTTTTCTAATTTTCCGCTTTCACAGTCACATTTAACATTCTCTTTTCATCAATTGTAATATTTTAAGATTTTAATATTAAAAAATATTGATTATTTTTTCAACTTCTTTCAAAAGGACGAATACAAAATGAAGACATTTTTTTTTATTTATTACTAATTTATATTTTTATCTTCTTCGTTCATCTAGTATGGCACAAGGACAATAGAAGCGAGCAAATTAAACACTACTTAAATAAAGTGGTCCACACATAAAAACCGAAAAAGAAACTAATTTAAATTGAGTGAAAGAATTTTTTCTTTTGCTGAAATAAAAATTAAAAAAATAAAGTAATTCTATGAATACAGAAAAAGAATTTGGTTTTCCTCTCAATATGAAAAAGAGATAGATAGATAGATAGATAGATAGATAGATAGATAGATAGATAGATAGATAGATATGAACAAGACAGAGATAATATAGATAGATATAACAAGGGAGGAAATATAACAAGGAGAAGGAAAGATTTTATGAAAGAGAGAGAGAGGGGGATATATATATATATATATATATATATATATATATATATATCTCTGTTCTCTGTTTCCTTAAAAAATAAGGAAAAAAAAAGGAGGTAAGAAAAATTTTCCTTCTCTCTCCTTACTCCTCAAATTTCCCTCCTTGTTAGATTCAAAAAAAAACTTCGCTTGAAGATGGAACGGATTTTTTTTCAACTCAATTTAATTTAAAGGATTATATTGATCGGCTCTTGTTTTGAAACATGATTATATATATATATATATATATTTTTATAAATATATATATATATATATATATATATATATATATATATATATATAAGAGAGAGAGAGAAAAAAGGGAGGTAAGAATAAAGTAATAATAAAAAGTTTTTCTCGCAATATGAATTCGGTTAAAAAAAAAAAAAAATCCAATAAAAAAAAAAAAAAAGTTTCTTGTTTTCATTAAACAATTTCGAAAGGTTCGATAATTTGAGTTTGAGGAGCTGTGACGTCATAGGAGCCGAAGGCATTTCATTGGATGAGAATAACCACACCCTACAAGGGAGGGAAAGTAAAAAGAGAATGAAGGGGAGGAATGTGCAAAAATGAGAGAGAGAAGGAGGGATATTTTTCCTTTTTTTAAATAAACAGAGAGAGAGAGAGAGAGAGAGGTTTCATGAGATAACAAGAGAGGGAAAGTACGTGAAGGGGAGGAATGAGCAATAAGAGAGAGAAGAAAGGGATGTATGAAAGAGAGAGAATTCCTGATAGATAGATAGATAGATAGATAGATAGATAGATAGATAGATAGATAGATAGATAGATAGACTCAGTTTTCGGAAGTAAGTATTTTAAACGTTCTTTTGTTGTCTTTTTAACAAGCGGACCACTTAACGAGTGCCTCGTCTTCCTTTTTTAAATCCTACAACAAACCTTAAAAAAGTAGATAGGAAATCGGGGAGGGTGGTGAACAAAAAACTTATCGTCTTCTTTCCTTTGTTCAATAAGAAATCAAGAAGAAGAAGAAGAAGAAGAAGAAGAAGAAAACAAAGAGAACGAGTCAGACAAGAATTTTTGCTTTCGAATCATGAGAGAAAGAGAGAGAGAGAGAGAGAGAGAGAGAGAGAGAGAAGGAAGGGGGATTTCTTTTTTTTTCTTTGCTTTTAAAGAAACAAAGATAGACCGAGAGATACGAATAGACTGACCGAACTTTCGGAAGGGTTTCCAAGTATTTGACAAGCAGATAAGGAAATTCGGGGACAAAATAACTTATCGTCTGCTTTATTCAATAACAAATCAACAAATTGAAGACAACGAGTCAGACGAACATTTTTCGATTAAAAAAGAAAAAAGTTTTCAAAATTAAATTCAATTTTTTCGAGAGAAAAAAGAAAAAATGGATTAAATAAGGAGATTTTTTTTTTTTTCGACTTAAAAACCGCACAATTTGCGTCGTAGTGGCTTTCTTGCCTTCATTGGGTTGAAATAATTTTAAAAAAAAGGAAGAAAAAAGTTTTGTTGTGTTGATGGCAACATTTAAGAAGAAGGTTGAATGATTTGGAGAAACGATAAGAAAATTCTTACTTACATTTGATTTTGATTTTCACTTTTGGGATGAAAAGAAGCGAGACGGAAACAAAATACGTCTTGTCTGTTGAATTTTCTGAAAGCAAACTGCAAAAGGCGTAGGTCGTAATGATGACGTCATCGGAATACAAGGCATTTCATTGGACGAGAATAATCACGCCACCTGACACGTGACTTTCTTCCATAAAGAATAAGATAAGAGAAAGAGAGGGAAAGAGAGAAGCAAGAGAGAAAACATGGAACGATGAGAGAGGGGCGAATACTCTTCTTACGACATTTAATCATTTGAAAAATATTTCAACTCAAACCAAAAAAAACAGGAAATTTGTGATAAATCTGAATAAAATGGAATTTCATTCCATCAAGAATCATTTTTATGGAAATAAAAAGAAAATGTCGAATAAAAGTTTCATAAACATCCGGAATTATTTTCATAAAACTTATTACAAAATAAAAAAGTAGTATCAAGTGAAAAAAAATCCTAATAGTATAAAATAAAAAACCTAGTACCAAATATTTTTATTAGTTAGTACCCGTATAAAACAATTGATTAAGCTAAGTTTTTGTGCAAAATATAAAATAAGAATTTTATTTGCACAAATAATGATTATTGTAAAATGTAAATAACATTTTTGGGAGACTTTTTAATTAATTATTACTTTTAATTATTTTAATACTGATATTTTTTATAAACAGACAGAAATGTAATTATCACGTCTATTTCTTATTAACAAGTTGTTAAATATTTATTAACAAACTGTTAATGTTAAAATTGCTAAAATTGAAATTCTTCTCGGGTTTAATACAAGATGACTTTTTAAGTAGTATAAAATTAAAAAACTCGATTAGTTAATTCTAGCATAATATATTTAATTAAAGTAATATTATTCAAGTATTAAGTAATATTATTAAAGTATAAGTAATATTATTCAAGTATTAAGTAATATTATTAAAGTAATAAGTAATATTATTAAAGTAACATTATTAAAGTAATAAGTAATATTATTAAAGTAAAGGAATATTATTAAAAAAAAATTATTAAATTATTAATATAATATAATTATAATATTAAAGTTTAAAATATTATTAAAGTATAAGTAATATTATTAAAGTTAAGTAATATTATTATAGTATTAAAGTAAAAGTAATAAGTAATTTAAAGTAATAAGTAATATTATTAAAGTAATAAGTAATATTATTAAAGTTTAAGTAATATTATTAAAGATTAAGTAATATTATTAAAATAAAGTAATATTATTAAAGTAATAAGTAATATTATTAAAGTTTAATATTATTAAAGTAATAAGTAAATATTATTAAAGTAATAAATAATATTATTAAAAAGTAATAATTAATATTATTAAAGTAATTAAATAATATTATTAAAGTATTATTAAAGTTTTAATAATTTATTAAAGTATTAAGTAATATTATTAAAGTATTAAATATTATTAAAGTATTAAGTAATATTATTAAAGTATTAATATTATTAAAGTTAAATATTATTAAAGTGTTGATAATATTATTAAAGTAATTAAGTAATATTATTAAAGTTTTATTAAAATTAATAATGTTATTTAAAGTAAAATTAATATTATTAAAATAAAAAAATTAAGTAATATTATTAAAGTAAATTTATTAAAGTCTAAATAATATTAATTTAAATTATTAAAGTTTAATTAATATTATTTAATATTATTAAAGTATAAGTAATATTATTAAAGTAATAAGTAATATTAAAAGTATTAAAAATATTATTAAAGTAATATTATTAAAGTATTAAGTAATATTATTAAAGTTATAATAAGTATTATTATTAAGTAATATTAATATATTAAAAGTAATATTAAAGTAAATAATATAAAAGTATTTAAAAGTAAATTTAAAAGTAAGTTTTATTAAAGTTATTAAGTAATAAAAAAAAGTAATATTATTAAAGTATAAGTAATATTATTAAAGTAATAAGTATTATTAAAAGTATAAAAAGCGTAATATTATTAAAGTAAAATAATATTATTAAAGTAATAAGTAATATTTTAAATATTAATTGTTATTAAAAAGTTATTAAAGTAAATTATTTAAATTAATAATAAAAGTATTAAAAGTAATAAATTATTATTAAGTAAATTATTAAAGTATTAAGTAATTATTAAAGTAATAAGTAATATTATTAAGTAATATTATTAAAGTAATAAGTAATATTATTAAAGTATTAAGTAATATTATTAAAGTATTAAGTAATATTATTAAAGTAATAAGTAATATTATTAAAGTAATAAGTAATATTATTAAAGTATTAAGTAATATTATTAAAGACCATTACGGACCCCCACTGGATAGATATTGTTAGTCAAAGTCAATGGGATAGTGACATAACAACCGTTAGGTCCAGGGTAAAGTCAGGAAATACCTGCAAATATATATTGCAGGGTGATGTGTTGTATTACCTTTCAGGGAAAGATGAGGAGATAAGCTTGAAGATGGTGATAGCCGAAAAGTTGAGGTCTGAGATCAGGGCTTAGGGCACAAGATGTATGGGTTGATAATGAGGAATTACTATTGGCCCAAGTTGTTTAATGATGTTGTGGATTATGTCAAGAAATGTGTAACGTGCCAAGTGCAGGGCAGAGGAAGTGAGACAGATATTCCCCACTACCCATTTCAGGAAATAAGTTTAGACATTTCAGGCCCTTATGAGCCAACTGATAGAGAGAATTGTTACATATTAAGTTTTGTGGATTGGCTGACAGGTTGACCTGAAGGATTCGCCATACCTGATAAGAAGGCGTGAACGGTGTCAGAGATAATACTTGGTGAGATATTTCTCAGGTATGGATCTCCCAAACAGTTGGTTACGGATAACGGTTCGGAAAATGTGATTCAGGTTATGAGGGAGACGTTGGGAGAACTAAATATTCAACACATAACCACCTCCCCATACCATCCCCAGAGTAACGCTAAGGTGGAGAGATTCCATAAGACTCTTGCTGATGTTCTGGCTAAATTAGCAGAACATAATAGGGAGAATTGGGATCTGTTTTTAACCCAAACCTTAGCAGCTGTGAGATTCTCGGTGAATGAAACGACCAAGTTTTCCCCTTACTATTTGGTATATGGTCGGGACGTGGTCTTACCCATAGACAACCTATTAAGGCCGAGGAGGAAACACTTAGGGGAGGACCATCATAGGATAATTTTAGAGCAGCAGCACAAAATCTTTATACAGGTGAGGAGAAGAATTCGAAAAGCCCAGAAAAAGCGAAATGATAGGATAAATAAAAATAGAGAAGTGGTTTCCTTCCAAATAGGTGACCCGGTGTCTTATAAAATACACCCGAGAGACGGTAAACTGGAAAAAGAGGTGGATCCCCTACTATAGAATAGTAGAACAGACAGGCCCAGTGTCCTTTGTGATATGGGATCAACTGACCGGGAAAATGAAAAGTGTACACGCAAGTGACATAAAGTTGGCCGAGATAGAAGACTGGGAAGGGGGCGGCATAAAGACAAAACAGAAAAACTGAGGAGGTGGAACCAGAACTACTAGGAAGTAATAGTGAAGCTAGCGAGGAGGTCGAAATTAGTCCCACTACCCTTCAAAGGCTAAGGGAGGTAACTCGATCCCCGGTTGGACAACCTGAGGAAGAGAATATTAAGCCTAGTGATGGCGAAGAAGACGGATCGAGCGATTGAGATCCTGGCGGCGAGATTCCGTTTGCTCAATTACGTAATCAATGGCAGTCCGAACAGGCGCCTGATAATGAGGAGGAGCTGCCAACGAAGCTGCGATTGCGAGGAGCAACGCCTTTCGAGTCGGCCGATTAAATAGAAAATCTGTGCAGAGGTTGTGTTGAACGAGTGACAGTCTGGGGTCGGCGTTACGCAGGCCGCGTAGAAGGGCCTCTGCACGGACTCGGCGTTGGCGGTGGTGTGGGTTGGTCCTGGATGTGTCACTCCACAATGCAGCCGTCTGACGAAAATAAATCAATAGATAATTATGTAAGATAGACTGTTCTCTCTCCGTCTCTTTCAGACATGGACGAGAGAAAGCCCTTGGCGCTGGTGATACTGATTTTCACTGCTAATGCCTGGGAACACAGTGAAAATACCGTGTTTAAGAAGACGAGCGAGGTGATCATAACTAGATCAAAGTGGTTAATCACGTTAGTGATAGATTTACAGCCGTATGAATTGCTACTAGCTCAGTTAAGGCTTGAGGTAGATAAGTTAGAGACAGCTAGGACACAAATCGCCGGAAGGTATTCACAAGGTCTAAACTACCACCGGGTGTTGTACTCCTTAACTCAGGAGTCCCTAATACTTGAGAGGCAATGGAAGGAGATGAGCGATTATTTAAAGGGAATTCAGTTATTGAGAACTAGACAAAAGAGGGCAGTGTTATCTATAATAGGTAAGGCATTAGGTGTGTTATTTGGCACTGTGTCTGAAGATGAGATAAGGTTGATCAAGAGGAAGCAGGTAGAGCAGAGACAGCAATCGATGGCCCAGGTAGTTAAGGAAAGCGTATCGATACTTAATGTTGCTAGGTTGGAAGTGGCTAAGAACAGAGAGAGTATTAATTGGTTAATTGCCATGATCTTAGGCAAGAGCTGGCGAATGTAACCACAACTATAAAAACTGGGTACCAGGAACTGGAGGGTTTCTTGCTAAAGCATCTCCAGTTGTTAACTATAGTGAATAGGGGGCTCCAAACCAGTCATACGTTAACAGTGCTGCGAGAACATGTGAGGTCCCAGTTGGATATACTGTCTATGGGACACCTATCCCAAAGTAAAATAACCCCAGAACGACTAAGGGTGGAACTGCTGGAAATACAGTACAAACTCCCCCATCATCTTGGTTTGCCGGCGGACCCCATTCAACAATTATGGAAGTATTATAGTGCCTTGGGATGTGTTACCCTGTTGGAAGGAGTAAATTGCTAGTATTGGTGTCAGTTCCCCTATTAAACCGAGGCAGCACTTTCGAAGTTTACCAGGTATTAAATCTGCCTCTTCCTTACCCAAAACCAACCCCAAGGTTAGAGGCAGTCGCTAGGTACAAAGTAGAGACAGAATTCCTCGCTCTAAACATAGCCAGGACAAAAGTTATGTTACTGACAAGGGAAGAAGCACAGAGGTGCGAGAATAATGCTCTGGGCACTTGAGCGTCTGCAAGTCCCATTTATGTAACAGGTATCCATCAAAAAAATAAGAAAGGAATCAGAGACCATTGTCAGGTAGATATACTGATTGATGTAATGCTACCCGCAGCTGTTAGCATTGCAGACGGGATCTGGGCAGTGGCCACTCAGGGTGAAATGGAGCTCTCTAAGGTTTGCGAGAATGAGGTTACAACGACAATGAGAGTTATTCCCCCTTGACCATTTTAGCCTTACCTGTTGGCTGTGGTGCACACGTGCTGACCCTATCCTTACCCCCCCTACTATCAAGCAGAAGAGAGATTCGAAGGGAATGAGGCGTTGTTGAAATTGGTAGGATCAAATGAAACTGGATGGGCTGAATTATGAGAAAATGGTTACCATAGTAACCTGGCCAATTGTTGTGGGGATTATATTAATTATAGCTATGGTTTCTTTGAGTTTGTGGTGGTGGAAAAAGAGACAAGTGAGAATGTCGAGTGTGGAAGTTGAACTGGCTGAAAGTGGAAGTGCGGAGCAGGCTGGGAACCCAATTGGTGCGCCTTACCAAGATCGGTTCGACCCAAGATGCATTAGAACCTGCAGCCGATGTGGAAGAACAGGCCACAGTTGCTGTGAGAGAGTTGGAACCCGTAAGGGGTCTGGCGAGGCCTGTTGTGAAGACCTGGACCAGTCGTAGGACAAAATTATATAAAAATAAATAAAATAAAATAAAGGGAAATGGATGGGTAAAATATGTAGTTGAAAAAAAAATGAGTGTTTAATTTTGGAAAAAAATGAGTGTTTAATGCTGAAAAAAAGGTGAGTATTTAATTTTGGAGATGTGTGATTGATAAAAAAAAAGAAAAAAAATGAGTTTTGATTTTGAAAAAAAAATGATGAATGTTCAATTATATATATATATATATAAAAAGAAATCTATCTAGATACAATACATATGTAGATGAATGAAGAGATAAATGAGTTGGTGAAGATATGGGAGCATCGCAAGTAGTGAACTTGATTGAAATCCTAATTGTTGGGAGATCAATGGAAACATTTATTCTCATAGTAACCACACTTATTCTTTTTGTGCATATGAAAATCTGAACCATGAACCTTATTCAGTAAAAGCACGACATTGTGCTTTATAAAGACTCTCTGAAATGAAACGGAAAAAGACTCAGAATCACATTATATCTCGACTTCGTATTTTTTTGTCTGTTCTGGTTCATGTTTTTATTTCTAGAATTGTTCGCAGTTGAAGTCAGACCGGATTGCCGGAGGACCATGAACTTCCAGCAACACTGTTTCTATTATCGTCTTATTTTTGGTATGGTAAAGTTACTAATAAATTTACTAGTAAATGACAGGTGGGTAAGGGAGGGATTGTGACATAGACAGAAAGACCCCCACTCACCCCACCCCGAGGTGGATTTAGTAATCAACAGTGCTAAAGAATTAGGATGAAGGTGCTAATTACTTGGGTAGAAGGGATTCCGGAGTAATTCCAGAAATAAGTTTATTTTTCTATTGTTTTTTTTTTTCTCTTAATAATTGTTTCTGGGGCTGAGTTATTAGTTAATTAAATGTAATAATTCCAGAGTGATTAAGAGACGGATTCGTTAAAGTAAAGTTTGTGATAAATGGCGAATTGGACATTTGGGTAGACTGAATGGCGGAATTCAACCAGACGGGAGAAGTGTTTTTGGCAAAACTTAAGTGGACGTTGTCTGCGAAAGAGCCAGCAGGAGGTCCGAATCCGATTTTAGTACCTCTTGAAAACTGGGTTCCCGCTGAGTTTCGGGGACCGGAAAAGCTTGCATGATGGTCAAAGGCGACTTGCATATTAAAATTCGGGGGCAGTGCCTAAAGATGGTTTAGCTCCGCCTCTCTCTATATAAGCTGCCCGCACGCTTGAGTTAGTCATATCGCAGATCGGAACGCGGCAGTACGCGGAAGAAACTGCTTGTTGAATTTGTTGGTCTCTGTTTGTCCTGCGTCAAGAAGACTTTAACCAAGAGATAGAAATAGCCTGGAATACAGATAACTGCCCAAAGGTGAAAGCAGACTGTAACACGAAGATCCACGAATTATAGAAATTGTTTAGGCATTTTCCACCATCAAACGAGTGAACCCCGTTACGACATTTTGTACTCGTGTAAAATTTTTTAACATAAAACAGCTACAGAAACTTTTTTTTTTAGTGAGTTCCTTTCAGCGGACCCAGCCATTTATTTTTCCTACCTCCGGATCGTTTGATGGATCGAAATACTGCTGTTCGTATTTTTTTTTGGTTTCTTCAGTTTACCGGGGAGGACCGGGTGGTTTACTTTTCAGCCAGAACCACCGGAGAGACAGGACAGAGCTGCAACAGGCAGGGTTTATTACGTTAGATTATTGTTTTCACATTTTGCACTTAAATTTTTAAAACCTATTTTTCTTAAAGTATTATTTGATTTTTAAATCTATTTATTGTTTGTATCTAATTTATTTGCTTGTTTGTATTTATTTGTTTCTTATTTATGTTTAATTGTTTTATTTATTCATTATAAATATTTTATTTATTCATCATTTAATTATAATTTGTTTATTTAATTATTGTTTGTTCCCTAATTCATAATTCAGTTGTTATTGTATTTGAAATAATCTCTTAATGATTACAAAAATTGTAACTTTACAGAATAATTATTAAAATTGAAATAAAAACATGAAAATTAAAACAATGCTGATTAGGATTTATAAAAAAATTTCAAATGTGAAACAATTAAAATCATGAAGGAATTTCAGTCTTAAAATTGTCTGTCTGTAACCTATTCTTCTATAAGTATTATTTGAATTTTAAATCTTTTTTTTTATCAACTTTATTTACTTTCTTTTTATTTATTTATTTGTTTCTTATTTATCATTTATTGAAATTTGCATCTGTTTATTTGTTTGTTTGTTTCCTAATTCATAATTGAGTTGTTGCTGTATTAGTGTATAATAATAATCGTTAATTTACGATGTTGTAACTTTGAATAATTACTAAAATTAAGATAAAAACATCCAATTTAAAACAATACTGATTATGATTTTAAAATATTTTTCAAATTTGAAACAAAAAAATAATGAACGAATTTCAGTTTTAAAATTTAATGAAATCTAACATGATGTTTAATTTCTTTATTTAACAAAACATTCAGCAACATTATTTTTTTTCTTATCGGTTATTTATTTTAAATTAATATGAAATGAAGTTTTGTATAAAATCCAATTCTGTTTCTTTCTTTTATAAATGTATTTTTAAAAAATTTTTCTAAAACCAATCTTTTTCTTAATTTTTTCGTTTTATGATAACTGTCTGTTTCACTGCATGGACGACATTTTTTCAGTCACTATCGAGCAAGCCTTCTCTATTGGTTGTCACGCCTCAGTCCTACTGTCATTTGACTATTCATTTTAGTTTTTGATCAAATATAAATTGAATTATCCAATCGTTTTTTTTCGTACAATGTAACGGAGATAGATCAATATCCACCATCATAAAGACTTAAAATTGACAAAGATTTTGTTTAAGGTTGACGGACACGCACGTTTTAATTAGTTTTTTTTTTTTTTTTTTTACGAATTGGTCAAACCCAAACTCAAACAAAAACATTGTTTTCAATCGTTATGAGTCTCTACCGATTGAATAGAATTTTATTATAAACAATTGTCTTGTAAATGGAATTTTTAAAGCATTCTGAATGTAAAAATAAAAAAAAAAAGTGTGCAAGACAATAAGAAACACTACCTTTTTTTGTTTTATCGGTTGAAAAATGTAGTAGCCTTTCTGTAATCTTTTAGTTTTACAATTTATGATTTTTACTTATTAAATACAGTAAAAAAATTGCATATTTTGCTTGTGGTGATTTTTAGAATTCTGATTTGAATATATTTTCCAATTGTTTTTTCTAAAAAAAAAATATTAACTTTATTTGGGTTTATTAATTATGATCTAACAAATCTTATTCATTTAGTAGCCTTTCTGTAATAATAATCTTTTACAATTTATGATTTTTACTTATTGAATACAGTAAAAAATTGGACACCATGTGTATTTAAAGTAGTTTCCCGTTCCGGTTATTATTTTTAGTTAGGACTTGTGTATGTTTAGATTTCATTATCTTTCCAAAAGATAAAGAATTATCCGATGTTTGTATTCGTACAATCAGTAGAGATCGTTAGATTATTGTTTAAGGTTGACGGACACGCATGTCTTAATTAGTTTTTTTTTTTTTTTTTACGAATTGGTCAAACCCAAACTCAAACAAAAAAATTGTTTTCAATCGTTATGAGTCTCTACATTGAATAGAATTTTATTATAAATAATTGTCTTGTAAATGGAATTTTTAAAGCATTCTGAATGTTAAAAATAAAGAAAAAAAAAAGTGCAAGAGAATAAGAAACACTACCTGCCCCCCCAAAAAAAGTGAATTTTTGTTTTATCGGCTGAAAAATATAGGAAATCTGATCCCATATTTAAAGAACCCACACACAAAAAACCCGATGTGAGTTGTCCCCTTCCATTTTCACGATGTCTCTTAATCGTGTTTTCAAATTGATTTTGTGCAAAAACAATTGTATTTTTCCCATTTTTGGCGCTGTTAGAACCACCACAAGGTAATTTTATGTAGTCCTGTGAAGTTTTGTTGAAATCGGTTGAAAAATGTAGGAAATCCGATCCAATAAATAAACGTTACAGACACACACACACACACACACACACACACACACAATCTGCGTTTTATAATGAGTAAGATGATGACGTACAATCATTGTCTATAGTAGTATGTTAGTTTTTATTTCTTATAGCAATTAAAAAAATATCATCAATTTTTAACGATCAATTCCACCTTCCTGACAGCCATTTGAAAAAGGATTGGCAATAATAGTTAGATTGGAATAATTACATTTTGCTATCTAGATAGATAGATAGATAGATAGATAGATAGATATGAAAAAGGCAGAGATAGATAAATCGATAGACAGACTGATAAATAGACAGATATATCGATAGATACATGAAAAGGACTGAGCTATCTAGATTGGAAAATGAAAAGGGCGATAGATAGATAGATAGATATGAAAGGAGAAAGTGAAAGGGAGGAATATGGAAGGAGAGAGAGAAGGGCGTTATTTTTCCTTTTTTTAAACAAACAAATATAAACTATAGACACAGAGAGAGAGCGAGAGAGAGAAGTTTAATGAGATAACAAGAGAGCGAAAGTAAGTGAAGGGGAGGAATGAGCAATAAGAGAGAGAAGAAAGGGATGTATGAAAGAGAGAGAATTCCTGATAGATAGATAGATATTATTTATTATTGCAAAATACAATAATTGTGGCACATGGCCTTAAAGTGGGGGGTTGGCGTTGAGGTTGGTCATCCTTACCTATCCTATACCTAACCCGATTAACGACCCATTCATTCAATACAAATAACCTACCCACCGAAAGAATTCACCCTTCACCTTTTACTCCTACATATACCACATTCACAAAGGGACCCTAAAAATTAACCCCATGGTTTAAAATTATGTATAAATGTTCATATATATATATATATATATATATATATATATATATATATATATAAAATCTGACGATGATGTGAAGTGATGGGGAGGGTTCTGAATCCCGATACAAAAATTATATATAAACAGAAAACAAACAGAAAATAATTAATGTTACTAGGACCCGTCAACCCCACAAAAATCAGAGTGTCGCTGTATTCTGTCATCAAACAGAATCAAGAGGCTAACTCTCTAATGGAATGGGGGAGGTGAAAAATAAATGTAGGGCGTGGGGAAGTCAAAGACTGAACCAGTCGAGATAAAAAGGCGGCTGAAAACAAACTGGGGAGGTTGGGAATCTCAACATGGCTCATAACCAAAGTAAAGCGCCAGGAACAGGCCAGAAACGACACTCACTCACGTTAACTAGGTAAACAAAAGGGGTTATCTACCTTAACGAGGGTTGGGGGGACGGTTCGCAGGAAACCGCCCTGTTCTGACGAGAGGGGACTTAAAAAAGAACTCAAGGATAGCCCCTTTCACACGAACCAAACTCGCTACTTTTACCCACCTTTCGTTGAAATCTATCGCCACCAAACGCTTTTTTATCAGTTCTAATCTTCATTTTCAGCTGATCCTGAAAGTATCTGATCAAATCCTGATGAGAATAGCGTTCCCGTCGCAAGATAAATTATCCTTTCGCGCCATCCAGATCACCAACTTCTTTAATTTTTCTCCAGCTTAGGTCGGGTCCAAACCACACTGAAGGGCCCGGAATATATTTAAATATAATAAAAGTTAGCACCTAACCGCAAGCCGGAAGACTTGTTACGGTTAATCTTGGCCCCAATGACATTTTCGTACCATTCAAGCGCCTTTAATAGGACCACGTCAATATCGCTGCAGCACGACAAGAAAATGGATGCGTCATCGGCGTACGCGGAAAGCCTGGCTCGAGCCCCTCCAGGGACAGCGATTCCAATTTTTTGTAAGGCCGAACTTTTTAACGCACGGTCCCTCAGCCGACGAAGGAGAGGTTCCAACGCCAAAGCGTAAAGTACAAGGGATTTTTATCAGAAACCCTGATGAACCGATCGAGACAGCGCAAAAGAAAATTTTGAAAATTCACGACCGGATCAAAATTACCACAGCACTGAGGAGCGATACAGGAGGCTAATCCAATTGCTGAAGTCGGGTTGGAACAGCAAAATGAAGGAGATACCGATGGTCGACCCTATAAAATGCCTTGAACTGATCCAAATTGATCAGCGCGGCTTGCTCGTCGTCTTTTACACCCTTTAGGATCGTGCGGATCAGATGCAGGTTACTCTGAATTGTTCGGCCTTTCACAGCACAAGTCTGATCGGGTCCCAAACGCACCGTCAGGATCTTGGCCAAAATCATTAACTCTGTGTTCAGCAGAGTAAAGGAGCCTATAATCGTCTAAATCCCGCCCACCATTCTTGCCCCTTTTCAACCGCTTGATCACACCCCTGGTGATCCGACTGGGGATGGACCCCTGCTGGAACAAGTTGTTGAAAACGACATTCAAAATCGGGACAAATATGAGAGACTGCCTCAGTACAATTCATAGGGTAAACAATCTTCCCGGCACTCTTTCCTGCCGAAGACTTCAATGCCAAGTAGACTTGACCCTCTTTTCTTTTAAAGCACCTAGCCGCTTCAATTCGGCGAAAGCCGAAAAAATCTGCCGAATAGCTGCGAAACTCATCGCCACTGAGACCGGGCTCCTTGGTAAATCGGATCTCGAAATGCCGCCGAAACGCCTCCCCCATATCGTCAGTCGACTACAAAGTACGCCCCTCTGGCCCCTTTTGACTTCACGAATGTAACGATCGAAACCTCGACGGATTTCTTCCTTGCGCAATTGTGCGCCCATGTTCACAGCTTCGTTAGACATCTTGTTTAACCTATGTCTAACTACCTGACTCTGGTAGCGCTCGCTGTTTTTATTGCCATTTCCAAATGAAATTTCATTTCTTTTCCACATTTTCTGTCAACCATTGATGGTCGGAGATGAAAAGAATAATTTTTTTTTTTTTAAATAATTTTTTTGATTTTCAACAAATATTTTTAAATTTTTAAAAGAAACAAACAATTTTGGTCGTGAAAAAGACTTTTCTTGGATCTTTGGAATTCTTCAGATTTTTCCGAAATTTATAAAAATTTTTTTTCTGTAAAAATAGAAAAAAATTTCTTTTTAAAACTCGAAAATAAAAAAAAAATAAATTTATTTGAACAAAAATTGAAAATTTCTTCTTTCATTTGCAATTTTTTTCAAGAATTTAACCATTTTATTCCAAAAAAAAATTTCCGACTTTCCCTTTGCCGCCCAAATAAATTCCCAGTCATCGGATCGACACGAAGGCAGGGGGTAACCATTTCCCTCCGGTGACGCCTGAGGGTGGATTGTTTTTATTTTTTTTCCATTTTATTAAAACAAAAAAATTCTTGAGTGATTCTGATCACAAGCGAAAATTTTTCTCTTGAATTTGACACAAAGAAAACAATTTCTTTTTTAAAACTTAGTGTCAATTATTTTTTCTTTTTTTTGGGAAGGTGGCGAATTTTGTCGCGCCAAAAGAAAAAGTTTCCCCTGTCCTCCCCGACCTCCAATGGCAACAGACAACCAAAAATGTCTTCGGGGAGGCAACACATGTCCATATAGTAGAATGTCTCTCTTAAGGAAATTGGCCGTCCAGTTCCTCAGAGTCTCTGAATTTGTTTCCGATCCGCCATTCTCAATCGCTAAGAAAGACGTGATTGTCTTCATCGCTGGCGACAATCGATAAAATCGACGCGTACGGGTTCGATCCTTGCAGACGGCTTTCACTTTCCAATTGTAAATGCCCGGCTCTCTCCGGCGTCCAACCGATTATTTCTTTCTTCAGTGACTCTAGGGAAACGTGACACCATTTGGGAAAGGTCACGACCCAACGGATTTTCTCTGGTGGAGCAAACGATTGGTGGGGCCGTGCAGAAAGCTCAGCTCTCAACAACCTCAATCCACAAACGACGTCCTCATCGTCGGTGTCGTCCAACAACAAATGTTCCAAGGTTTGTTGCAAGATCTTTACCTTCCCCAAAAGATCTTCTCTCTCGCAAGTCTGGCACAAGAGTTTCTGACAGTCCTGGTACCAAATCTGGCCGGTCGATTCTATGCCGTTTTATGAACACGTATCACAATTCAGTTGGCGGGATTCCAGCTGACGACGCCTTTAAAACAAAAATGGTGCCAGTCTCAAATCGTCACCGGTCTCAGGCTTTTGGCACTGGGGACACAGGCCATTTCCTTCAAGAATCATCTTCACGCACGACCCACAGAAAGAATGAAGACATGGCAACGTCTTTGATGTCAAATCCAAAGATTCGACGCATTTCGAGCATTGGAATGTCTCTTCTTCAGTTACATTCGACGCCATTTGGAAAATTTCTTCTGAAAAAAAAAAAATCAAAGATAAAAAGAAAGAAAATAAAAAAAAAGGTCAAAGTTCAAAATCAGAAAAGAAAAAAAAAGTCCATTTATAAAACCGGAAGAAAATGACCTGAAATTTCGAGATTTTACAAGAAAAAACAAATCCATTTCCGAAAGAAAATTTGTTTTGTTCTAAAAATAAAATAACTGAAGGGGAGGAGAATACAGTTAGGGTAAGGAAATGAAATTTGAGAGAGTGGGGAATGGAGAGAGGTTATCAATAAAGAGAGAGAGGGAGAGAAGAGTAATAGAAGGAAAAAAGAAGTTTAAAAGAAACAGAGAAAAGAGGGGGGGCTTTGAATTTTCCTTTCACAGTCACATTTAAATGATCTTTTTCATCAATTTTAATATTTGAAAATTTTAATATTTTTTTCGAATTATTTTTTTCAATTTCTTTCAAAAAGACGCGTAAAAATGAAGACTTTTTTTTTTTTATTTATTACCAATTTATAACATATTTAAAAAAAATTTTTTACCAAAATTTTCTAAAGAAAAATATTTCAAAAATAATTTCATTCATTCCTGATAATTTCATTAAAATCGGACAATTACTTGATTTTTACAAGAATTTCCAAATCAATATGTTTTGACGTAAAACAAAAAATTTTAACCAAAATATCGAACGTGTTAGAAAATATTAAAAAAATAATTAAAAAATACTTTTGTCTTTGATCTTAATAATAACAAGTATTTTGACGATAAAACTTTATTTTTATTAAGTTTGTGGCATTATTCATTACACTATGCTGTTTTCCCGCGAAAACAATGGACGATGCCAGAATAAACGATAGAGAGAGAGAGTGTGTGTGTGTGTGTGTGTGTGTGTGTGTGTTATAGTGGAACACACCTATTCTATACTTAATAGACTCTCCCACCTATAATAAGTAGGAGGAGTAGGAGTCGCTCAGGGAGTTGGTCAGTCAGTCGATGTCGGTCGACTGTCTGATCGGTTGAACTCTCTGCCTTCGGGCGGGGAGGAACCCGGAAGAGGCTACGCCGAAGGGCGGATTCTCTTTCGGGGAGGTAAACCGACCCTGAACCCGTTTATACGGGTTCAATGGGCATATTTTAGCCACGGGCTCGGAGATCCCTCGTTAAACCGGCCTTGTGCCACATGATGCCCTCGTAGGGGGGCGACTAAATATCATTGGTCAGACAGTAGATGTCGGACGATTAAAGTATCAGCCACCACAACTAGATTACTGCGTCATTACCTATTATATCAAGTTCCTAACGTTTTGTACGTCGAACTTATTTTAAGACCGACTTAGTACAAATACAAGCCTCCACTGTGAAACTACTCTACAACACTTGGCGACGAGGTATTCGGATTCATACGGAGGAAGAAAAACATTCGTACTCCATACAACACTTGGCAAAATTAACTCGCCATAACAAATTCGGCCACGAGTATTCAAACTCATGCGGAGGAAAAAATTGCGTTCGCCACAGTATTATTCGGCGAAAGGATTCGGATTCATACGGTGGAAGAAAAAATTCGCTCGCCACAACATTTGGTGACGAAATTCGTACTCATACGATGGAAAAAGAAAAAAAAATGCACGTCACAATTATTTCGGCGACAGCATCTCGGATTCACATTTTAAAAAAAAATTGGCAAAGTTTTTTGAAAGACAAGACGTCAACTTAGTGACGAAAAAATCAGTCGTATTCTCAACTGAGAAAAGGATTTTTTTCTCTCGATAAGACAGTTTGCTGAAATAGGTCACGAATTGGAAATTTGTAGGACCCCCTTCTACAACATTTAAGCATTGTGTAAACTTTTTGCGAAGATGGAGGAATGCAAAAATATATTCCAGGAATTTTTAAGTTTCAGACGGAACAACAGATGACAATATTAGAGCAACAGAAAACATTCCAGATACAACTACAGGAGGAAACTTTTAATAGACAGATGCAGTTTCAACGAGAAATGGAACAGATGCATAAGGAGTTTCAAAACAAAATTCTGGAAATAACTGAGAAGAGGAAAGAAAAAAAAATCTACAAAATTATTCTTTCCCAGATAATACAATATGGAATTCAATTGAAATATTCACGTACAGTCCGGATGAAGAGATAACTTTTGAGGAGCATTATAAAAAATATACGGAGTTATAACGAGGACTGCCACTGTGGTCTGAAGGAAAGAAGATTAGACTTTTTTAAGCAAAATAGAACTGCTGAGCATAACAAATTGGTAAACTACATTTTAACCGAAAAAAACTAGCGAGTTGACATTTACCGAGGCGGTAAATATATTAAATGAATTATTTAGTAAAAAGACATCTTTGTTTCACAAGAGGTGGAAATGTTTGAATTTGATGAAAGATAACGAACAAGACTATATAACGTACGCAGCCAATGTGAATAAGCATTGTGAAGAATTCAAGATGGCAGAGTTAAGCGCAGACAATTTTAAATGCTTAGTGTTTGTTCAAGGGCTGGTATCGGAAAGAGACGCAGAGTTGAGAAAATTAGTACTGGCAAAATTGGAAAAACGAACCAAGGATTACGATACAGAAGTTAGCAGAAGACTGCACAAGATATGTTAGCGCAAAGAAAGATTCGAAAAAGATAGAACAGTCTGGCGTTTCGCATGTAAGGAAAATACGCTACAAATAAGAAAGTCAGTCTACCAAAAAAGAATTCTAAAATTGCGGATTATCAAACAAAAAAAGAGAAATACCAGAGAAAAATAAACAAAAAAACTCCCGAAGCCATGTTTTGCTTGCGGTGAACTACACTGGTACAGATATTGCAATTTTAGGAATAAAAAATGTTTCAACTGTAAAAGAGTGGGTCATAAAAGCTCGCACTGCAGGTCAAAAAATAAAGACAATAAAATAAAAAATTAAAGTCCGACGAAACGATGGAATAAAAAAAATTTGTTACCGTCGAAATAAGTAATAAAAAAAAAAAATGCAACTCGACACTGGTTCCGACCTATCTATCATAAATTTGCATACGTGGAAGAATTTGGGGAAACCAACTTTAATGAAAACAAATAAAATCGCGAGGTCAGTGACGGGAGAAAAAATACAATTTATTGGAGAATTTGTTACAAACGTCACGTTAAATAAAAAAAAAACGAAAAAGTTAAACTATTTGTCATAGAAAATACCACGAACTTACTTGGTACGAATTGGATAACAGAATTTCCAATTATGGGATCTACCGATAAATTCCTTTTGTTACAAGGTAGAAAGTTTAAACTACGAAGCCCAAAAATTAGTAAAGAAACTTAAGGAAACATTTCCTACTGTTTTTTCTCCAGGTTTGGGAACGTGTACCAAGATGGAGGCAAAATTCCAGCCAAAAGAAAACGCTCAGGCGGTATTCAAAAGAAAAGGAATGTGCCGTTTGCCTCAATTGAACAGATAGATAAAGAAATTGGACAGATTAGAGAAAACCGGTGTATTTAAAAAAAAATATAGTAATGGGCTACACGACGATATATGTGAAAAAAAAGCTCCAGAAAGTAAAGATGAAGCCGACACCGAGAAAAACTGGGGAGCGAGTTACCCGCAACCAAGGACATGCAGTATTATTAAATGATTTAAATCAACTGAAGTCACTACAGAAAACGTTAAGAAAAAAAGATCAACAAAAGGGAAGCTTGAGGCTGAACAAATAGAGAATCACAAAAGAAGAACCTATGAAACTAATTTTATTTGTGAAATTCCATGAGAAATATGGATTTTACAAAAGCTTAGTAAACAAATTTAACAGATGACCTTTCACCTGCAACAAAGGTTGTAGATAGATAGATAGATAGATAGATAGATAGATCCAACATTTTCAAAATTCTCTTGAAAGGATTAAATTAAATATGTTTATGTATTTAAAAAGTTTATTTAAATTTTTTTTAATTGATAACTAGCGGGGGTCTACGATTGCTCAGGAGATCTAAAAAAAATAGTTTATGATTTTTATTAATTTTTTTCATATTTTATTGAAAAAAATTTTTATTCAATCTGTTTTAAATAACCTTCGGAGTTTTTTTTTTTTTTTTTTTTTTTTGGTTTGTTCCAAAATAAGTAAATTTAAAAATACCTAACTACCAATGACACGCCCTTTTGAGCATCCCCATAATTTTATCTAAAAAAGGAATTTATTTTATATAAAATACTAATATAAATATTCGATTAATGTTGTTTTTTACATAAAAGTTCATTAACGAATTATTATTAATAAAAAAAAGTAATTAAACTCAAATTAATTTTTATTTTATTTTAAACTATTTAATTGAATCTTTTTTTAAAAACTATAGCGAACTTTATTTCTTCGAAAAATAATTAATTTACGTTTTGTTTTATTTAGTTTTTTTAACTAAAGTTTTACTTTTAAACATTATTACATTAAAGAAGCAAAAATTTCTCTATAAATGAAGTTACTATTATTTTGAAAGAGAGTAAAGCAGTAACATTGAAAATTTTAGTTTTGAAAAACGATTAAAAATTTCAAGTTATATTTCTATTTGAAAAAAGAAACCAAACTTTATTTTAAAAATTTAAATTAAGAGACAGACATGAACAACATTAGTCAAAATATTTTTTACTAATTTAACTATTTTTTATTTAAATTAATTTTCGAAAAAATAAAACTCGATATAGTTTTTGCTTTAATAAAAAAGAATTGAAAATTATTTACTTTTAGTTTTTTTTTATGTTAATTACAAATTAAAAAAAAAAACGATTTTTATTTTTAAAGATTGAATAAAAATTAAATTCCATAAGATGGCCATGAAAACAATTAATAAGTCAATAATATACACACACGTATATATATTTTAAGATTTATATATCGAATATTTGAATTAATAAATATTAAACATTTTATCAAATTATTGTATTTAATATTCTTCTTCTTTTAAGTTTATTTGTTTTTTTAAATTCGTTTTTTTTCTTATTTTATTTACTATAGATGGGAAAATAAATATATTATATAAATTTATATATATTCATATCTATCTATCTATCTATCTATAAATAACAGCAACAGAATTTGATACATTTAATTCTTTATTTGTACACTTATTTGATAATGGAATAAAAATAATATTTTAAAAAAGGTGGGGGACACCTAAAAATGTTGAAATGCATTTAAAAAAAAATGAAAAATTTTTTTGAAATTTTATTTTAGTTTGAATTCGAATTGATTAAATTTAATATTTGCAATAAGTAAAATGATGATCTATTTAAAAACTAATTTAAATTGATTGAAATCATTTTATTCTGATTGTATAAAAATCGATATATTCTTTTTTTAATAATGATATATTTGTGAGGTCTTTGACTGCTCTATCAACAACATGAGTTTTTGGGAAATTTAAAAGGAGTGCAAAACTGTAAAAAATTACTTGATGAATAGAATGTCAAGGACTCTTTTTTCAACTGCCAATTTGTCAATTAAGTATAATTAAAAATTTAAGAAAATATTTTAAACGATCCCCTATTTTGTTGGATTTTAGGAAATTAGGCTTTATGACTTTACTTACGAAAAGACACAAAAGAAATTTTTTAGAAAATTATCAATCAATTTTTAAAATAAATTTACCACCCATGTTTTTCTGAAATGTTTTGTTATTCTTATAAATCAATACATTAAAAGCCAACAGTCACACACATAACCATGTATTCAAACATTAAAATCATCGAAGGGCTAACTGCCCTTAAGCTAAAAAGAAGAAAACAAGACCCCCCCCATCCACAGAAGTTATCATAAAACTCATGGAGCATGTTCTTACATTGAATACTTTCAACTTCAATGGAGCACACTACCTTCAAATAAGAGGTTGTGCCATGGGCACCATTTTAGCTCCATCATATGCTACAATATTCATGAGAAAATTTGAGGAGACCCATATCTATCCCTTCATTGGTAGCGACTGCGTATTCTATGCAAGATATATTGATGATATATTCTTTGTATACACGGGTAGTGATGACAAACTTAGCCAATTCCTTATGACCCTAAACACAGTGCACGACTCAATTAAGTTTGACTATGAAAAATCCACAACATCAGTAACATTTTTAGACACCCGCATTTACATAGATGAAAACAGGAAACTACAAACGACACTACACACTAAAATCACCGACACCCACAACTATCTACACTTTAAGTCTTCCCACCCTAAACACCTCAAAGAGAACCTTCCCTATTCACAAGCACTTAGACTCAGAAGGATATGTTCCAACAATGAAGAATTAAATAAACACATTGAAAATCTGGAGCATCAATTCACAACACGTGGCTATAAACAACACCTAATCAGGGAACAAATAAATAAAGCAATTTCCACACCTAGAGAAGACACCCTAATGTACAATGATTAAAAATAAATCTAGCCGCATCCCTCTAGTAACCACTTTCAACCCCACTCTGCCTCCACTATCCCAAATAATCAAACGTCGCTGGGAAATACTACATCTCAAACCAGACCTAAAAAAAAATTGTTTAAGAACCCGGCCTTCTTGCATATCATAGACCTAAGAACCTAAAAAGAAATCATAGGTAGTAACCACATTTCAGGGGACAAGGTAATCCGTAATAAACTAAGAACAAAAACAAAAGGATTTTCCCAACCATGTAACAACAAAAGAAGTTTATGTTGCAACCATATTAAAAACACGAATTCATTCACTAGCACAATCACTAAATCTACTTTCAAAATCTACCACGACTCTAACTGTAGAAGTCAAAACATAATTTACCTCCTAGAATGCACACTATGCCAGAAACAATATGTAGGAAAATCTGAATGGCCCTTTCACTACAGAATTAATAATTATCGTAAGCGAATTAAGTCGACTCCCCATGAAAAATTATTACCTGTAGAACAACATTTCCGCCTGGAAAAAACATGATTTTAAAACCCATGCCAAATTCACTATAATTGAGAGAATAGAAAATTCCAGAGCAGATAACATTAGAAAGATTTTAGAGTTCCATGAAAATAAGTGGATACAACGTCTAAAAAACAAAAATATCCAGCCGGGCTAAACCATAAATTTAACAATATAGATAGTATTAATATATAACCCCAACAAATCAAAACCTACCCACATTTCTCACCCACACAAGACAGACATGGTTACGGAGGTGTTGAGGCCTCACACTTATACACACACCCACACGAATATACACACTTACACACATCATACTCACTCACTCCCTAATGAGCCAAATGATAACACACACCCACAACAATACACACACTTACACATATCATACTCACTCACCCCTAAGAACCAAATAACACACACACAAACACTAAACAGAGACACATCCCCTCTCCAGGTCCAATAAAACTGTCAAACTGACCAGAGAATTCAGAGAAGCATGGATCCATCCAGCTCTTATCTCAAATAACAACTTAAAAGAGACTGTTTGACCAACACAAGGAATGTTAAAAGATTCATGTTAAAAAAGAAAAAAAAAAAAAAAAATGAAAACTACAGACAAAAAGTTCATTTTCTCCATCAAGACATTCATTTCTGTAGTTTTACTGCTACCACAAGGTTAAAAAATAATTTTCTTTTTGATGATGGCCATTTTGGCCGAAAACTAGTTCAGGAATCTAAATGAAATAATAAAAAAAAACGAAAGAATATTAATCTACAACCCAGTGTGTCTGAAGATTTTAATTTTTAATTTTTTTTTATTTAATATATATATATATATATATATATATATATATATATATATATATTGTATTTTATATTTGGTTTAAACGCTTTATTTATTGAATTTTAACAAATGATATCTAGATAATCAACTATTTTAAAATTTTTTTTTAAAAATTCAATTCCATAAATCCTCGTAATTTAAAATAATTCAAATGATTTCAAAATTTTTCGATATTTATGTTAGTGGACCATTACACTTCTAGATAAAAAAATTCCATCATCTCTGTATGAAAATATTTGTTTGGGATTTTAAATTTCTACTTTTTTTATATCTTGTTGTCAATATGATTGTGTGTATGCGTATATATATATATATATAAACATATTTTTTTAAATATAAATAGGCAATGAATGTCGTCTATATTGTCTTTCATTTATTATATTATAATAGTCGAATGAAAATTTAATTTCTATGAAAATAATTTTCATAAAATTATCCAATATTTGATATTTTTTTTATAAGTTGGTCCTTGAACTTTCAGATTTTGATTTATTTTAGAATGGTTATACAGACATGTAAAAACGCATTCCCAGATATTTAAACTTCTGCATCTGAATGATTCTAGTGTCATATTTGTATAAATTTCATTTTAATATTATTTATTTATGACCATGCATTCTGTAATCTTTAAAATTTATGCTTTTTTATCAATTATGACTCCTGTCTGCAATTATAGTTCTGTGTCATCTGCGTATTTTATGCTGTTGATTTTTCATTCAAATTCCTGTTCCAAAATTCAAAAATTTCTCTTAGAATTAAATGTTTGTTTGAAAAGGTCGGGTGAGATAATTACAGATTGATCTATTTTTTATTCATTTCTAAATCCTGGAGATATATTCACTTTTAACTCGTTCCTAAACGCATGCATGCTGTTTGCTGACAGTATAGGTTCTTGATTATTCTCAATATATCAAGGTTGGAAAGCGGTCCCAAATTATCCTTTATATAAAATTTGTTGAGGTCTTTGCGAAATCTAATAAACATAGGTACGCGTTTTCTTTAATTATCGGCCTTTCAATAACATTCTGATATATAAATATCACATTCCTTTTTTTGTGTTCTTTAATTTTATCCACTGTTCTTTTTCCTACCTTAACAATA